AACAGTTTTCCTCTTCTTATCTAGTGATTTGCAGAAATGGGGTCTTAAAGGTGAAAATCTCAAGGGATGTTCCTTGGAAATTTATATCTCGACGTAAACTGGTCGATAATTTTATAATTTTAGTCGACAATTACCGCGAAAAAATTGCAAAATTCAAAAAATTGAAAAATAAATCATGAAAATGCTATACTGATACATATCTACTAATTTAACACAATTAATAGTTTTAAGGATATTTAAACAATAATAGAAGGATATTTTCACCTTTGATGACATCTACAATAGATTCAAGTGACAGCAAATTGATGATATCATACTAGTGCAACTGAAAATATGCCATCAGTTGAATTTTGTATGGGGAAAAGAGATTCACGTCTTTTTTTGGTATTTTTTCGTGTGTGAACCGATTTGAATTTCACGGGAATAAACCACTTGAGATCCTGATCAACCCCTTTGGAAATACCAGATGAACAAAAAGTTAGAAAATGAATATAATAATAGTATATATCTGTCAACATGTATATGAATATTCTAATGAATACAATTTGAGCGGTATGGATATCATAATTATTGAGTTATTTAGGAAAACCATAATTCCCGATAAAAAAAAGATACTTTGATTTTTCAAAAGTAAGGATTGATAGATAACTCCACCAGTTTTAACTGTATTGGCTCAAAAGTTAGTGTGACAGTATTAAACACTAATACAGATAATATCATATTGTCAAAATGACTAGAATCGAGCTAGAATTGATAGATCTAGCGAAACATATGCAACTTCATGAAATATCTTTAATTTGCAAAATAAGCAAATTAATTTTTTGTCGTCGCATTTTTGGAAATTTCCTTAAAATTACTGAGGTTTCTTATTTTCCACCTTTTGGCAACTTTTGGGCAACCTTATGATGTTGCCACTTTTCAGCAACATAATGAAGTTTTCAACAAACTTAAAAGACTACCGCGATTTCTCAATTTTGGTTATTTTTAAAAGACTCCCTCAACTTTATTAATTCACCTTTTTTTCCAAAATTTCGCAACAACATCAATTGACTGCTACTAGCTTTCATCATATTTTTGTTAGACAATAATATTGATAAATAATATAGTGTAATACTATGGTTGTTATTATAGGCTATCATTATATATGAAATATTGACAAATATACAACAGCGGCAATTATTGAAACTATCCAGGAGCTACTCATTCAATATAATGATCCAGTATATACTTCATTCCTCAAAGACGTACACGGTAAGTAGATTTAAAGAAGAAATTTACCATTTGATTAAACTATCAGTAGTCGATGGTTTGAAATGAATCAGCATTGCAAATACTTACAGATTAAAGTTGGTTATTTGTTATGCTCAACCTATTATCGATGTACAGTTTCCGCGAATTTTTGAATTTAGGACCATGGTTCGTACGAAAGAATCTGAAGAAAAAGAAAAAGAATTCAAATATCAGAAGGAAGGAAATATATAATGTATAATTTGGCTTCAGTTCCATTGATACCACTATTAGTACTTGCCATAGCCATATATGATGTTATCAGCTTATTACATAATCTAGTTGAATGCATGAAAGCTACAATGGATCATCTTTGGAACCAGTACAAGTGTAAATGTACCTTCAGCTAAATTTTGTATGGCGAAAAGAGATTCAAGTCATTTTTGGTATTTTTTCGTGTACAAACCGATTTGAAAATTACGGAAATAAACCACTTGAGTTGCTGATGGACCCCTTTGAAAGCACTAGACACACCAACAACAGGGATCACTAGCTCCAATGCATATAAATGTGTACTAATTTGTATGGATATTTCAATCAAACCATTTTCAACGTGGCCAAACTCATGTTTATTGAGTTATTTAGAAAAATCATAATTCCCGATAAAAAAAAGATACTTTGAAATTCCAAGAGTAAGAGTGATAGATAACTCCTCCAATACTTAGTCGATCAATTCAGAATAAACTTATATAGCATAGTTTATCACTGGAAATCATATACCATTTTCAAAAATGCAAAAATCGTACTAATAATGACAAATGTTGCAAATCGTGGAACATTTGGATGTCGCACTGTAACGACCATAGAAAACAGAGATATAAATGTTACTTTTCTCTAGAACATACAAATATTCTACAAAGTTGGAACATTGAAATCTATGGATATATGGACGGAACATTTCTATATACGGATATATGGAGGGAAAATTTGTACATACAGATGCGCACCAAATCAGGAACATACAAATCAATGGTTTAATGGATGGAACATTGTAACACACAGATATATGGCGCAATCACTGGAACATATAAATGTACAACAAAAAGTGACATTCAAAAATATGGTTTCACTTTCGGAATGTAGATTTATAAGTTACCGCCATCAAATTGATGACTATAATCTAATGTTATGTGTCTTTCCTTATTCAGAATTGTGTCAAATTGATTATCTTGATTGATTCCCATTATATTCAGATATATTAGATAAAATATGTCAAAAGGAAATTGTTCAAGAGTGTCTAAAATGCTGTAATTTTTTCTGTATCATTACAAAAATATGAACTATACTCTCGCAACATAACAAATTTACTAACCCGATTCACTCAATAGAAAAGTTCAATCTGATCATATATCTAAGTAGAAAATATTGGTATTTTCAATCAATTACTTCAGAAGATTTATATTTATAGTGGATATCATCATTATTCACTTCTGTTTAATCAACTTATCACAACTACATATAGCAGTTGTTACATTTTGTCAATTTTCGTGTCTCAATCAAAATAAAATTTACGGCAATAAGCCACCATAGAACACAGTAGACAGCTTTGAAAGCACTATTTACATCAATACTGCCAATTATCAATATTTAAGTACCTTAATATGATGGTAAACATATGGATATTATAATAATACAATTTTGGGCGGGTTTAATAGCACATTTATTGATAAATTTATACAAATATTAAATCCGGATAAAAAATGTGTTTTTATTTGGCCAAAGTAAGATTTGGCAGCAATTAATACCTCATTACTAGCAAATGCATTGAAATTGGTTTAGAATGGTGTTAATTTACCATATCTTTCAGATGATGGTAGTTTCAGGTATGTACTCCTAAGACAACATGGTAAAACCACCCTAACACCTGAATTTGGCCAAATACCTTTATTTAACCAAAACTGTCGTTTAACGAAAATTGGCCAACAAGATAAAAATCTCCAAACTAGTGATTGCACCGAATATTATGACTTGGCCAAAAGTATCATTAATCTAAAATTGACCAAACCTCGTACAAATAAAAAAACATGTGATTTGACCAAAAATGTTATTGATTGAGATTTGGTCAAATGATAAAAAAACAGAAAACTACAGATTTGACCAAATACGATTGTTTGCCCAAAAGTACCATTCAATGAAATTTGGCTAAATAGAATAAAACTAAAATACAAGTGATTCCACCAAATGCTGTGATTTGGCTGAAATTAGTTTTTACCAATATTTGACCGACAATACTCGAAATGAAAGAAATAACACTGATTCGGCCAAATATTGCAATTTGAAGCAGAAAACTATGCCAATTATGTTGTACTCTTGTATAGTCTATGATTTATTAAGAAGCATGTTAATGATTATATTGAAATCAAAAATATACTTGATTGTAGTGCTAATATATGTTTTTGTGATACCCCTTAATTGAAGTTGCTTAATAATATCAAGTAGATGCGTCATTATATGATCACACTCATATAAGTTATAAAATCAACAATGCCAAAAGTGATAGAGTTAAAACAAATAAGTCTCCACTTGATTAATCCTACCCGAAATACAAAGATTTGAATAACAAGGACTTTCATAAATGGTATGTTAAAGAAATTCTTTCAAAGAAAACGGTGAAGATATATAAAGTTAGATAAGATCCCCAAATATCCCAAATGGATGAATATTAAGTAAATATCTATTTTCTATACTTCTTAAGTTAACAAATCAAAGTAAAATCTGAAAAGTGGTCAAAAAAAGTGAAAAATGGCACACTATTGCTTAATGTTGCTATCCATATGGCTAACATCCAAGACATCAAGAGAGTAAACGTAAATCCCAATTATCCAAGGAAAACCACCCGAAGATAGCTGGTAATGAATTTTGAATATATTAAAGCGGATGAACATGGTTCAGACAAAGAGCTGCAAGGTAAAAACGAAGGTAAAATAAGAGTACTACGGAAGCAGAAGATAAGACCTGCCATATGCAGCAACAAACACTTAAGAGAAGAAATGAGTCCAGGAACGGAATACAGGGAAGAAAGAAGAAGCAAACTCAAATATTAATGAAATGTTGCAAATAATCAGTTCGTGTCTATACGGGAAAGGGGTTATTTGTAATATCAGAGAAAGACTCTCTTCTGATTTGGTACAAACATACGACACCATCCAATCGATAGTTGCGCTTAATTTTTATCCCGTTATCATCTATTTGAATAAGTTTGTAAATACCTAACTTATATAGCTGTGCTTAAGGAAGATTATAGACTAGAATTATACTGAAACTATATCATTGCTTTCCTGATTGTCGAACTCCACTCATTCTGAGTGGAAGTGTCTAGAGCAGCACTTAACATACTTGTAGAGTAATGATTACCCATTAACTTTCTCATACTTGATTAGCCAAGTACCAGTAATGGTGGTGGATAATACTATTCTCAACGTTGGTATGTTCTCAAGGGGTAAATCTAAGAATAATATATATCAAATGTTATACAAGAGGTGTAGTTGGATACGGCAATTGGGTCATATTTGAGGGAAGTGTCCTTTAGAGACACCAAGCAAGGAACTAAATTTTGACACAATGTCTTTTAATTGTATTTCACTTACAAACAATACACATGCAATCCTATTTAAGAAGTTCTTCCAATTTCCCTTCGGTCTTCAAAGTTTGTACTTCGGAATTACCACCAATATGTTTCCCATTAATAAACACGTTAGGAACCATATATTGACCTGTTTTATCATATAAGAAATTTTGAATACTTAAACCATCTTCTAAAGTATTCAAATTGACTATTAAATAATCTTCACCTAATTCATCAAATACTTCTTTGGTATATTTACAAAATGGACAAAATGTTTTTGAATAAATAACAATCTTGTTGGATTTTATAGTTGATTCAGTTTCTTTTTGTAATTCGGGAGTAATAGGTTCTGGTTGATACCACCAGTTGAATATCCATGCAAGCGCCAGCATAATTACTAGAATTTGATTTAGTGGATATTAAAGAAAAAAAAAACAAGATCTATGGGAAGGGAGTTGGTTCATCATTATTTATAGTTAAGAAAGCTATGGCGTACTGTGGCTGAATTAAATTATTTTCTATTGTAATATCGGAAATACAAAATTAAGATTTACAGAAAATATTCACATAACCGGTTACATTTTTCATCGATATTGCGATATTTTGACTAATTCTATCTATGTATCTATCTATTAGTGAAATCTATTGATAAACTACAAACAACTTTTGATTTACTAAAGTAATGTCATTTGAGAAATTGATAACTTCTAATGTGTCTTCCCCACATTGGTATTTTCCATCTGACTTGAGCTCTTGATCATCATCTTTATACAATTCCTCTAAGGTTTCATTAGATTGGTATGCTAAAGTAGGTGGGAAACAACCAACAGTTATATGATTATGTTTATTCACTGGTTCAATCTCAACGATATCTTTATCCTTGTTGTAAATCTTGAGTAGTTGAACTTTAATACAAATCAATTTACCCTGGTTAATAACAATTTGCAACAATTTGATATCACCGAAAAATTCCAAAATTGTCTTTGATTGATCTGGATTACCTAATCCGAGTTTGGATTTGATATTTTTCCATTTGATTCTATTGGATTTTTCTTTAGTACTTGCTATATGTGCTAAAGTTACATGAAATTCATCCTGAACCAAGTTTTCTTTTTTTAAATTGTTGTAATTGTCGTTGAAAGATAATACTGGTTCAATTTCATCCAATACTCGAGAACGATTGATTGAAATCCCATAAAATGTTGGATCCTTTGGTTTTTTGCCACTCATATCTTTGACAAATGTTGGTTTGTAATTTAATGCTTCCTTAAATGCAACTTCTATAGCACCCTCGTTAGGTTTAGATGGTACCAAATCTGGGTATTTTTTTGCAAGTTCATTTATTATAGTCTTGACATTGTTCAAGGATGAGTTTTCATCCTTTGTCAATTTCAAATTGATCACATGATCAAATGCATCATCTGGAGGTGCTTTGGTGTTGATTGGTTGTAATCTTCCAATGAAACCCTTCATAATATTCTCCACTAATTTTTCATCTGTTTCTGGTTTGATCGATTGATGATTGTCTCCTCTCTTTTTTATTCTGCCAAATGTGATATCCCAAAGATCTTGATCACTTATGTTGTTGTCGATGAAATTAACTGCAATGTACTTCACTTCTACAATATCATCAATATATTCGTGTCTTTTTTGATCAACAGTTGTGAATATCTGTTTTCTTTCTCTCGATGCTGAGTTGTTTCTATCAAACAATACAAGTGGAGCTTGGTCTAATGCTTTCAATGTTAAATCGACAATCTTTAGTTTAGCATTTTTGGAAATGTTATCATTCTGGATATGAACCCATTCTGGGAATAATGAAACTAAAGTATTGAACACGGTTGTTTTACCACATCCAATAGTTGCAACTGGTACAAGGACATATTTAACAATTGGATCAAGCTTAATTCCTGCTAATTGTTTTGATAATTCTTCGTCAATAGTTAACAAATTCATACCATTTGTTTCATTCAAGTTTTGTAAAAACATTTGACGCACTTTGATAATACCATGTCCCTTGGCGAAAGATTCTTTCAAAGTTGGATCTTTATTAAATAAATCTTGAACAAATTCAAGGTATTTCTTGGTGATTTCTTTATTCTTTTTAACTCGAATACTTGAGACGGTTTTACCTGATAATAAATCTCTGGTACACTCTCTGAATTGACGATACAACAAGTACGGTTGTTCAAATTTGTACTTGAAAAAGAAATCCAGGTTATCCTGTCTATGACATCTGATGACAAAACCTTCGATTTCTTGGCCATTATAAGTACCTGTTTCACTACATTTATGTAAGAATTTGAATAAATCTTCACTGTTGGTGTAAGTCAAATACTGAACTGATCGGAGCCCCCATTCATTGGTGAATTCAATAACCTGCTCCATTGGAACAGTGTTGAACAAGATAGTATTATAATTCAACCCATGAATATACAAACCGGATCTGTCTTTTGGATAAGGCAATACATGTTCTTCAAATTCGTCATCACATAACTCAGCAACAACAGTAAGATTGTTGTTGAATAAATATTTGGCCAATTCTTTAACTTTTTCTTTACCCAACTGTTTCACTAACTGTGCCTCTCCTTCTTGTGCATGGTTTCTAGTTCCTTCATCTCGATCGCCGGTTGAATGCTTAGAACAAACAATAATATCTCCGGTAGATAACCCACTAAAGAAAATAATACATCCATTTTCCTTCAAAGTTACTTCATATGGACCATGAGTTGATTTGATTATTTCCTCTTCTTTAGTGAATGATTTTTCTCCAATATTGAAAAACTTGTCATATCCTCTAACAACAATAGTATCATCATTAGTAGTAAACAAACCTCTAGCTTGAATAGGTAATTTGACAGATTCTTTTCCATAATCCCATTCAAGAAATTTCCAAGAATCAATAGGAATAGTAGTATGAGAAGCAAAGTTGGTGAACTTTATACATTTCCCATTACGTTTCAATTTAGTTGATTCATTAAGCTGTTGACACAAGTCAACGATCTTAGATACATCGTCCCTCATATGAAGCCTGTTGATTTATTTGTAGTTGATAAGTATGTGATGAGTCAAGGTTTTGAAAAAAAAAAGGTCGTGAAGAATCGCCAAGTTCGTTTTTTTTTTTTTTGACAACACAAGTAAGAAAGACAGAAAGAAAAAAAAAATGGGTATCAGTTGAGACAAACACAAATTTAACAACAAACCAGTTAAACAACTAAATACCCAACCATGCTGTATGAGATTGATGTTGATGAGGCAGATATTGACGTTTTAGAGAAGAATTTACTCAAATCAAAAGAATTGTTTGAATCAATTGATAAATCACTATTCAAAATAGCCAACAAATCCCAAAAGGCGTCAACAACGATTAAACCAGTACTTAGTCAAGTCAACAAATTAACTAAATCTAAAGAGGATGTAGAGAAAGGATTAGCTTTACTTGAAGATGTAAGTGCAAGTGCTGAAAAGATTAACAATTTTGAGAATATTTTGAATAATCCCGTTGATACGATTGGGATAGTTCGGTATATGAATACTTTAAATCAATCTAAAACATTGTTTAAAACAGTTAAACCCAAGTTTAAGCAATTCACAGGTATTCTTTACAATTTTGAACAATTGAATGATAGATCAGAAAGAAAAATCCAAGAATATTTTCAAAGTTTGATTAGACAAGATGGAAATAAATTGGTGGAGAAGAAAGAAGATATCAAGATGATTTTCAAGTATTTCCAAGAACAAGAAAATGATGAATATGTCAATAGATTATATTTAAGAGCAAGAAGTGGGAAATTGTTAACAGTATTAAAACCGTATGAACAAAGTACAGTGGCTGCAGCACGTGAAAACAATAGACCTTATGAAAAGGGATCAAATGGTATAACACAATACACGGATATTATGATTAATGAAGTTGGACAAGAAGTTAATCTTTTGAGAAGTTGTAACTTACCAGTCACATTTATTGGCACTATTATTGAGGAGCAAATTTTCAAGTATAACGAAATCATTATGAAGTATAATCAGGTTTTCAGTTCACCAAGTTTAATTATAGATAACATTGTGTTAATTTTGGAGATTCTTGATAATTTAAACAAATTCAAGTATAATTTACATAAAAATGGAATCAGCAATGAAGAGTTTAACAAAACTATGGGATTATTTGTTCAACAGAATTCTGTCATTTTTGAAGAGTTTATATTGTCGGTTTCAAAACGGTTTAATAATTTGCCAAAGTTTACAGAAAACAGCACACAAGAAGTTATTGTTGAGATCATGAGCAAATTGCGTAAACTCAGTGAGTTTAAAGCGGGCCTATTGCAACTTATTAAGAACCATCAATTGGGAGATTGGGTTAAAAGTGCACAATTTGCTAAAGTGTTCAGTTCAGTGATTATAAACACCAATGTCGATACTAGCACCCCCGATTTCTTGTTATCTTCGTTCTATTCTGATGTTATCGATGATATTATGGTTAGTATTGAACTTGGATTGAAGATGGATCAAACAATGAAGAAATCAACTCAAGGGTTTATATTGGTGAAGAATTTGTTTATGTTGGAATCCATTGTTAATCGATCACAAGATTTGTTTAATAGTCTTGGGCCATTGGGGATGGAAAGAATAGGTAAATTGAAGAATCGATTTTTGAAATTATTCTTGGAAGACTGGAATCATGCTTCATTTATTATTATTAGAGATATGACCAATATTGTCAGTCAACTGGCCATAGCAGGGTCGAGCAGTGGAACAACCAGTGGAACAGGGGGAGGGCCAGTTTCTAATTTATCTAATAAAGAAAGGGAACAAGTTAAAGAATTGTTTAAGAATTTCAATGAATCATTTGAACAAGCATTAGCTACTTATTCACGTTATAATTTTGGGGATGTTGGATTGAAGCGTTATTTGGGTAATGAAGTCAAGAAATTGGTGATGAATGCATATTTTAAGTTGTATGACAAATATGGTACGTCTGATTTCACAAAAAACAAATCCAAATATGTCAAATATGACAAAATAGAGTTTGAAAAGTTATTGAATGAAAGATTATAATGGGAGATTTGCACTACTATTTGGATAACAGGAAGTAAAATAAAAGAAAGAGGCTGTGAATTCATTTGTGAGTTTGCACCATGTTACTTTGTCACTTGATTGGAGGAATGGCTCTAATAATTTTTAGTTTTATTTTTCACTTCAACCCTTCATCTCGGAGATAGCGCTGTTTGTTCCACAATAGGAAAGTGGGGATAAGCGGGGCGGATGTACTGTACTCCGGAAATGACATTTATTATTCGGCTATCCACATCTTAGTTGTGTATTCATCCAATAAACAGGTCAAGGTGAGTAAGAATAAAAAAGAAAAAAAAGTCTTATGTGTACTTTAATGTAAAATCTATAAATTAGAATCATGATTGTTTTTGTATTGTCATATGTTGATGAGTGCTTTGTGGGATCTCTTTCTCCATTGTTTGACCCAAATTGATAATCTAAAAAAAAAAAAAGAAAGTGCTTAGTTGAAACCAAAAATAATAATAAAAATTAAAAATTAAAAATTAAAAAGCAAAGAGCAATGAGTGATTAATGGAATGGAAGAAACGTTTGAATTTGTGATGATAACCAACCAACCAACTAACTAACAGCAAGATTTAAATTAACAATGGTCTATCATTTCTGGTTCGACATTTATTTTACGAACTTTGTTGTTGTTGTTGAGGTTGAGTTGTTGATAATACCCCGGTGATTGTTGTTGTTGTTGTGTCTAGATCTTTTATATTTTAGATTTATTTTCTTGAACTCAACAAATTTTTTTTTGCATTATTCACATGTTCATTGTTCATTTTGATTGATATATTGCTGTTTATTGATTCACCGATAAGTTTGAGAGCAAGAGGCGTTACCTGATAATTCAATCAACCATTGTTTTATTGTTTGTCAAGATTTGTTTAAAGGATAGTGATTAATACTAAAATTTATTCTATGAATTAAAAACCTTATTCTGACACTTTTTTGTTTGTACATGTATATTTCGTATATGCTTACATCTACACTTCACCCGCATATCAACATACCGATATATCCAAAGTTAGAATTAGAGAGAGAGATAGAGATAGACAGAATCTGTGACCTTATTTTTCTCTTTATAACCCGCTCATATGTGTGTGATTAGCATATGCTTGTTTATTAAGAATCAAAAATTGGTCTTTTTCTCTTAAATTGTAAGTAAATGTATCATGTAGATTTAGATCGGCACCATGCAGACTTTATTCACCCACGTTCATTCATTTTTATTTTTAATTTTACTTAGTTTGACTTAACATGCTATTTTTTCTTTTCTCTTTTACTTTCAGGATGATCGATAAATGAATCTGTATGTTATGTAAAGCTCCCTTGTGAATATACTTACATGCTTGCTTGCTCCTCAAAACGGAGAAGTATCGATTGTTCCCGTGTTGGGTATTTTTGTATTAATTTTGTGAAACAATTTGATTGCAAACGATTAGAAGAACAATTGAATTGTCGGAGTACAATTTGATGTTATATTGTGCTACACACAGACACAGATAGATAGATATATAGATAGATAGAGAAATATAAACTATTCATTTCTCTTATTCTTATTATTATAATCATTTCATATTTCTATTTTTGAAAATTCAAAATAAAACTAAAATAGAAATAGAAAGTGAAGTATATTTTTGTGATTATAATGTCTATCGTTTCAGTGTTTGCAGAGTTTTACGTTTATTAAGACAAGAAATATCCGTATATGTACTGAAATATGTCTGTTCCTTTCCCTTGATTTGTTGCGGGTCACGTGGATACGTATATGTTAAAGTTATATTCTACATTACGGATCATAATATTTCTTGTTCTTATGCCATGCTAATGATAAATGTATAATCAGATCATTTGAAACACTATTCTAACCACGGTATCTGTAAATTTAAAGAAGAAAAATAAAATTAAAGAAATTTTGAAAAATCTGTTTTAATCGATATGTTATTATTATTATTATTATTATTATTATTGGAACTATGATGATGTTCAGTAATTTCAGGTTTTCTTTATTTTTATTGTGTCATTTTACAATTGATATTTCTAAATTGGAGAAAGTGTATTATTCCAACATTGGGGTGGGGGAACGAAAAGAGATGATACAAACATTAAGATGTACGTTTGGGAATACTAAATGATTTATGGTGTATCTAGGTATTTTATTGAAAGTTTAAATAAGCCAAAAGCATAGTTCCAATTCTATCAATGCACAAGACGTATTAACTTAGTTTGAAAATGGGCAACTATAGCCTAAGTGAAAAATACAAAAAATTAAGGATCCAGAGCAATGTAAACCAACTTAAATTAACTAATCAACATTAACCAACAAAAACTTGAGTATAGGCGATCTTGTTGTGAACTAAAATATACAAATAAAAAAAAAAAAAAAAAGAAATCAACTTTATAACATAGCTGGTGTTAGACAAAGAAATGGCGTGGAAATATGTATCATATATTATTCTATCAAAACACATTGTTTGAATAAATCAGGCTATTGAATTGATATGAGTTTTTTCTTATATAGGCCGTTCAACACAGGGAAAATGTGGAACAAGCAGATAAGGAAAATAAAAATGGTAAGAAAATTATTAATAGAACAACAACAGCAAAAGCAAAAGCAAAAGCAAATGAAATAACGTATATTAAAACCGGCGGTCGTTCCCGAGTATTATACCTAGGTTTATTTATTTATTATAACAGGTGGAAATGGCTGTTGATGTATTAGAAAGGTTGGTAGGCATCAAAAACATAAAAAAAAAAGAAATAAAAAACGATCTCGTAAAAGAACATTTCTTTATGTTTTGTTAACCCATTGTGTTCTTGTAATTCTAAGTGAGTAAAGTTATGTGTAGATGATTTTAAGGGAGGTACGGAAATGTGTAAAATAGAAGAATTCCATAACTGTCTTTCAATAAGGTATCACAACCTGTGAATGGAATATTATTCAGACAGTGTGTCATAATTTGATGTAAAAGAGAAAAAGAAAAAGTGACCCCATCAGCAACTGGCGGGATTATCCGGAAAATATCGCCACCTGAAAATGGTCATAAAGTAGGGGGGATATGCTTTCAAGATTAAGATCAATCTAAAAAAGGAACCGTGACATTTCAAAAAAGAAAGAAAGAAAAATAAAAGGATTTTCAAAAGTACACAATAGATGCATAGGGTGGGTCCCCGCCTTCTTCTTACATGGCGGCGGTGGGGGGAAGGGGTCGGGCTGGAGAGGGATTAAGAACAGGTGGTAATGAATGTCGAAAGAATGACACCAAATGCCACATTGAGTTAAGGTTCGTATCTGTCAGAGGTGCTAACCCAAGATTATTTTGAATTGTGTGTAACTTGTTCCTCTACTTTCATCATGACTTAAATAATTAACGTACTTAGTTAACCAAGAAAAATAATAATGAACCCACAATGAGTAAGTAAGTAAGAAATACATTATGTTTGTAGTTAATCAATCGTTAATGGGTTAGTTTAAACATATACATTCAACTTTAGTTTGAAACTTCCATTTCCTTAACTTTTTTTTTTGTTGTTCTTTCTTTTTAGGTTTGTTTGACGTAATCAGACATTTTATGTGCAACAATAAAAAAATGTCTGATGTATTACATAATACTAGCCATTCACGTGATGTGATACAAACTTGTTTCATTACGTAAACAAATGCAAATGCAAATGCAAAAAAAAACCATTCGACATCATGTACAAATCATTACTTCATTTCACCAACTCCTGTCATTCACACTTGTTCCACTTTTCATTCGCCGTAGCACAAAGTCTAAAATCAAAAATTCATGTCTAATCATTGATGAACAATGTGACATTCGATTCTACTCTACTCTAATCTACAATCAATATACATTGCTTTCTCTCTACATTCCTTTGTTACCTTGGTATTTGCATGTAGATGATCTGGATTATACCCAGTTTATTATAATAATTACTCCAATATCTTCTCAAACACACACTCATTGACTCATTATCTTTCATCGACGTCTTCTCCTCCTTCCCTGTCTTTGTTTATTGTTCTATTTCTCTCACTGTCTTCCCCCACGCTTCCCTTTGTCTTTCTTCTCTTTCTGTTTCTGTGTTTAAGCCCCCCAAATCAAATAATAATATGTAAAGCATTGTGTTGTTCATAATTTATTTTTCTTCTTCTTGTTCTATTCATTTCATTTCATTTCTTTGTTTTTGTTTCATCATTATTTTTATTTCTACGCTAAAACAGGATAAATCTCAAATACCCTGATGATAGAATTCCTTGTCCAATGAAAGATTATCTTCCGTTTTTTTTTTTTGTATTAATCACGATTGTCATTTTACTTCTATGTAATTGCTTTTTTTAAAAAAAAATTATTTATTTCATACTAAGTATCGTCGATTATTACTTTAATTGCTTTGAATAATAAGATAATGTATGAGCCATTAGGCAGACATTTTCGTATAACAATGCTTTTAGTATTTCCTGTAAAATAAACTCATAACCTTTTAATCTGTATACGTACAGACATTTCAACACTTCAACCGTTTCTTTTCATTTTCATTTTCATTTTCATTTTCATTTTCATTTTTAGTTGTTCAATATTGTTCCCTTTTCAATGTGGCAGTTTCTTTTTTAGTATTTAATTTCATTTTCAATGTTTAAGAAAAACAAGTCGTTGTGCTTTGTGTATAATGTGGTTTATGCTTTTGTTCTTGTTCTTGTTCATGTTGGTTATGCATTGTTTAATTTCATTAATCACACATATACATTAATACACTTTTCTTAAAATAATTTAAATTGTTCTATATAGATTCATTCCCGCTGTATATTTCAATTCCCACCGCCCACATTACATATACACATGAATTATTAAGAAATGCAATAATTGCAAAATAGAAATAGAAACAAAACCAAAAAAAAAAAAAAAATTATTTCTTGATACTTCTCTTGGATGCTTATTGTTAATTTTATGATTCTGTGGAATTAACCCTTGCAAGATTCATCTTACGAACTTTACTTTTACTTTGACTTTGACTTTCTGATTTTTTAATTTTTGAATATTTTTATGACCTATAAATATCATTGCAAAATTCTCTTGAAATTTTCTGGTTCTTCTTTTTTTTTTAATAATCATTATTATTATTTAACTTACTTGCTAATATCTATCTACTTCAGAGATTATCATTTGTACTTTATCAAGTATATATTATCAATACCCTCGACTTAACCCCTCGTCATGCAATTAAAAGAATTGGTTAATCAAACTATACCTTCTTCAAACATCTTACCAAGTGTTTGTCCACCTTCCAATACTGGTGTCGGTTCATCTGCTATTTCTGCTAGTTCTAGCAATGCTTCATCATCATCTTCTACTTCTTCACAAAAGATAAGTCTACCACCTATTTCAGATATTTTACAAACCGCTATACTGGCTTCTACTCCACCACCTCCACCACCTCCACCACCTCCATCTTCATCTAGACAACGACAATCGTTACCGCCATTAAACCAATTGCCGCCATTATCACTTGTTTCAAACAATTCTAATAACAATTATAAATATCATGACTATTATTATAGTCAACAACCTCCACAACAACCAGAAAGAGTATCTCCAAACTTACCACCATATAATTTTTCTCATCAGCAAAATCCACAACAACCATATCAATATAATTCTTCAACTCCACCAACTTTGTTATTAAGAAATAATTCTTATCCAAATAGTACATCTTCTTCAACTACTTCAATTTTCAATTCTCCATTATCATCACCAAATGCTAATAATCATCTTAATCAAAAGAGAAAAACAAGAAATAATTTACCAAAAGAAATTACATATATTTTATTACGATGGTTAAATGATCATTTAAATCATCCATATCCAAGTTCTTTTGAAAAGAATGAATTGATGGCTTTAACTGGTTTAAATCAACAACAATTAAGTAATTGGTTTATTAATGCTCGAAGAAGAAAGATTAAGACTTTAAAAGAACAAAAAAGGTTGAATTTTTGAAAAATTGAAAAATGTATTTTTTAATAGTCAACCCTGGATGATGGTTTATTATTCTTATATTTTATTACTATTACTATTATTATTATCGATTATTATTATTATTATTTAGTTCATTTCTTTTATTTAGTTCATATTGGGAAAATCAAAAAGGAGGGTTTATCATTATTATTATTATTTATCTACTATTATTATTTTGCAAAGAACTTTTTCTTTTTTTTTACATATCTATACTTTTTTGCATTCATATACGTTTTTTTATTACTATTATTATTATTGACTGAAGAATAAACGTCTCTATTTCTACAAACTTTAACCTGGTGATGAAGATGATTTTAATGATGGGCGAATCAAGATGTTTCAATTTTACATATCGGGTATTTTTATTTCATTTCTGTTATCCGTGTGGGACAGAAATCAAATATGCACGATATATCCGGGAATATCATAACCAATCCCGTCTCACATACACAAAAAAAAAGAAAGAAACAAAAATCAGATGAGATAAGTAGGTGAGACGTTTCTTGATTGAATGTACTTTTTGGGGGCAGGGTAGGAAGGAGGGTAGGGTACTGCTACTGGTGGTGGTGGTGGTGGATCTGCACTGCATTGCTCCAATTTTTATATTTTTTTGACTTTAATAGAGGAGAATGTTAATTTTTGTTTGTTTGTATTGTATCCCTTTAGAATTTCTTTTATTGAATATACATCGCGTTAATAATCGATGGGTTGGCAGGTAGATCTACTCATTAACCTAAGGTCAGGGTTTTTTTTCTTTTATTATTATTATTGGATGTTTTGTATTTGCTTATTAAACAGTTAATTGTTGTTTCTATATAAATCTCTGATTACATAATTCGTTATTATCGACACTTTGTCGTGTGTGAATTAATTAATTTTTACAATTGAGTTGAGTTGATTTGATTTGATTACTTCCAGTATATTTATTACAAGCCTCGTTTCTTGCTGTCACGCCTGACTGTTTTGAATTTCACCATCATAATTACGTGTGTGATTCTGTAGCTGTCAATTAATTAATGAATTAATTACTTACACATAGCCATTCGTTGGATACAAAAGAATAAGTTGGCATATTTCCCGATAGTTCACAAAAATCAACGGTTTAAAAAAAAAAAAAATAAGATGAAACAACCAAGTCAATATTGACAAGAACAAGCAAGAGGCTCATGACAGTTCACCATCATTACCCATCAACTCAGCCATGTACAAACTTTGCTTTGATTTCTTGGTATTTTCCTTTGTTACATAACAAGTGGGTTAGTAATGTTTGCCGTGTTACACTCTGTTCTACTCTACTCCACTCCACTCTACTCTCCTCCCACACTCACTCACACAAGTACATCGTAAGAAGAACAATCTAAAAAGTTAAAAAAAAAAGTAGTCGTCACATGATTACATAATTTCTATTTACACTTCTCCTTGATTTTTATGTTTATTTTTACTTCATTTCAAATGATTACTACTTCTTGTCAAATTCATACTTTTGCAACATGGCATGACATATAACAACCATCGTGCTCCATTTCTTTTCTAAATTCACTCTGATATTTGTCTGAAGTTCCTTTTGTCGCTATAAGATTGATGGATTTCTCCTTTTTAGCAACTTTGCATTAAACACACGATTTTTTTTTGGCTTTGTTTTCTCTGTAACATAAAGGATAAATGGCTTATTGCTCTCAAATCATTTAACAACAAACTTACGAATAATAATAGAAAACTATGAATTGTGTCAAAAAGTATAATGAACAGACGAAGAAAGAAAGAACAACCGTAATTGATTACATTTATGAACTTAAAACGTAATCACTTAGTAGGATTGTGTATACGTGAAGGTTAGGAATCGTATGACAAATTCATGGGTAATAATGAACTCCTAACCAATTGTAACCTTCTTAACCCTATGTACTTTTATACTTATATCCCGCCTGTTGAGTACAATTTGACTAAAAAAAAAATACAATATCATGTTGTTCAAATGAGAATTTAAAACAAAGAGAATAGACCTATCATTACGTCTGTGTGTGTGTGTGTGTGTGAAAGTGTCATCAATATGTAAAATTGATTACAATAGGTATTTTCTATTTCTTTTTATTATTATTATTATTATTATTTATTAGAGTTTATTAGCAAACTGACAATTATTATATTGTATTGAATCCCCGATTAAACTTGAAATAGTTACTCAAAGGTAGCTAGTGACGATAATTGCGTCAAACGCTATTCAACAAGCAATAATCACAATTTTTGTGTTTCTTCAAATATATAAAGAGAAACGTTTTTTTTATTGAATGAATGAATAAATGAATGATTTCTTTTAAAAGGAAAATTTGTGGAGGAATATTATTCTTTAAGTTATATATGTATACAGTACAATAAGTGTAATAAAAGTATTCTTGTAATACTCCAACCCTTTGTGATGGAATTCGTGTTGTTGTTGTTGTCAATTAATAACTAACCACTATTTCCTTTGTCCTCTTTAAAATCCCCAAGCATTTTATCATAAAACTTCCATGATTCTATTATTTTATTTTATTTTATTTTATTTGATCATTAATATTTTTATTTTTTTAATTTAAACCAAGTGAAACTTTATGTGTATTTCCATTGGTGTTATTAAACCTAAAACAATAAGTCAAAAATTCTATTCAAGATTTAAGTAAAGTAACGCGATAATGCAAGAGATTATACTAGAACACACACACACATATACACACATATACACTCTCCTATATCTATCTATCTCTTGCTCACTGTCGTTACTCATCCTCTTTTAATACTACCCTTTATAGTAATAAAACCGACACATAATAAACCTTTGCTGCCCGTTTGTTCTTTGTCATAGTTAATCATTGAGAATTCTTGTTTTTAGTGTGCACTTCAACAAAAAAGAAATTAAGCGATTACATAACATGTATTACACATTACACATACTGTACATTCCTAGTTAAATTTTAATAGAATCTGTTTCTTTCAAACACAATAGTAAAAATAATAATAATTAAAATATTATTATCATCACATTATTGTATTGTTGGTGTGCATCTGCATACTTTGCATAAACTCAAAAAAAAGGAGTTGCGGAATTAATTTGGCTGTGAAATCCGTTCCGTTGTTTCATCCAATTCAATGAGTGTAATTATTTTCACACAACTTCATTGTAGTTGACAATAAACGTTATATACGGACAAATCTGGTGATGAATTTTATATTATTTAGTCTAAAGCAAACAATCCCTAAACTACGATGGGGAAAGTTCAGAGTTAAAGAGAGATGGGAAGAAGATGAAACGGATTTTTTTTTCACTATGAGATGAGGAATCAAAGAAAGAAGAATGAAAATCTTTCAATTTAATTTGGCCACCATGTTACGATGGATTTTGAAATTACTAAGATTAATAATACGTCAAATTTTGTGATTCGTAGCCCCGGAAAAGTCTCCAGAAATATTTCAGTCATCACTACGACAGCGAAGTAATTTAAAAATAAAAAAAAAAAAAAAAAAAATGAAGTGATTCAAAAGCAGAAAGCAATCACGATTATCTTTGTTTTATGACAAAAAGGCGGCGTGTCGGTGTGTCTGTCTGTGTGTGTGTGAGTGGATGAGTTAAGTATTTGTACCTAATCATGGGATAGAAATTTTGGTTTGTGCATATACTATGCATGATATTGATCGACAATATGTAACAATACACTAAGTCAACAACCATTTATTTTTGTTCGTATTCCTTTGTAAACACATTCCAGTAAAGGGTGAATGCCGGCTGCATACATCTAGATTCTTTTATTTTAATGATTTAATACTTTAAAGAATCAGAGTCAGACATTAAGATGATTACCTCCAAGTGAGATCCTCGTTCCTTTGTTTATCACATCTTCTACAATTTTGCAATGTAGTACGAGAAAAAGCATTCTTGTGCTGATCCTTTGGTTACCGTCTATTGCGGTCCTTTACATATCATCGTACTTTTATTGTGGCACACTGGAAGAAGAACAAGAACAAGAAGAACCAAATCTCTAAAGAACAGCAATCAAAACCTATCATCCGTGTTACTAACCGACTGTTTTGTTTGATACTCAATTCCAGACACAACTTGCAATTCACTAAATGCATACTGCATCTCATCTTAAATGACACATGATTTCGAATAATTGTTTTTGAACCACCTGACTATATTTCACTTCTTAAGGTTTTGCATTCGGAGTTTTCGTTTGTTACCTTGTTTTTGTTATATCCTTTGTTGCTTTTAAACTGTTTTTTTTTCATTTATTTTTAATTTTGACACCTTTCCTTGCTTTTTTCTCTATATATTGTTCTTTATTTTATAATTGCTTATCATTATTCTAATTATATGTCTGTTTTTAATGTATATTTTTTTTTTGCTTTCTGAACTTGATGTAGAATGGAAAACAAAACTTACGAGAATTTCCTTTTTCTGGTTTTGATATTATCGATAATTCGAAAATGCCTTTAAATGTCACATGAAGAAACATCAAAAAAACAGAAAGGTATAACCGCCGATTTCTTGGAGTGGAAATTATAACAAGAATAAGAGGCAACTAGGGAAAATGATTCTTCTTCTTCTTCGTCTTTTTCCTTACCCTTTTTCTTTTTTTTTACCCCAGGGAATGGAAATGGAAATAGAAATGGCAATGGCAATGGCAATGGAAGAAGAAGAAAAATCGTACCTGAATTCATGATTCATTGCTTATGATATTATATATCCATAGTCATTTTGGCATTTTTATCCATTTCCGCAATCTACTTTATTTGCTACGGTAAGGATAAGTGATTTTATGTTACATGGACCATTAGTTCAAACCATGTATTGAAACTTACAGGTTATACAAGGAAATAAATTTGCTCAATTGGTATGTGAACTAATCAGTGTAACATTAAGTACTGTACTGAAGTTCTTTTCTTTTTCTTCTTCTTCTTCTTCTTCTTCTTCTTCTTAGTATTAAGTAAATGTACATATAACCTCTATCATAACTCTATCGTTCTAGTCATGCTCATTGTAACCCTCTAACTCTGAAATAGTTTCAAATCTCGGCAATCAAGAATTAGAAAAAGCAACTGTACTAAGGATCTAAATAAATAAAAAAACTCCTATTCAATAGTATCATAATCTTAGTGTCTTGCTTTTGTTTGAAATGATGTCAGACATTTTTTTTTAGTGTCTGATATGTCTTTTTTTTTGTTGCGTGTATAATAATTTTACTTATTTTTGGCTGTGAAAAATTACCAATATTAAAAGAAATAACCATCCATCTTCACTTATTAAATAATAGTGGATTATTATTATCTTCATCTTCATCACCATCATAATATCAAAACTATCTGATATTTCTAAAAGGATTTAGGGATTCTTTTACTACGATCGTTATTTTTTAATCATAATTCTTAGTAATAATAACGTCAATTATTTATAATATATAATTAGCTAATGCAATTATCCGTGGGTAATCATTGTGTTGTAAGATTACTTTATTATAATAAATATATACAGCCTCATTAGTCGATAAGAATCATTACCATCGAAAGACATCATCTATAACTTGCTATAATGAAGTATGGAAAATAATTTTACTCTCATCATATATTTTCCATACAAATTAGTTCATTTTTTTTGGTTCATCACAATCATCGTTTAAGTTGTACATACACTTTCTTTCGATGTCTATCCCATGGTCTAATTGTGAATTTTTGGGGTTTGTAATTATTGTTCGTATCTGTAAAACTAAATATAACTGATATAGTTAGGAAGAGAAAGAAGAAGAAAAAAAAAGGTCGTACTCTAATGCATAGGGGGAATGCGGGAATGATGTTGGGGCATACATATGAATAACAAAATTAGCTAGGTTATTTGAATTTCTCATAACCGTGTCCGATCTCAATTTGGTATCGGTTTACGATCGATACTATTTTTCTAGATTCCCAGATTGGTTTCAAGAAACTTGCTAGCCGCCCTGAGAGATAAGTTCAAAACCCCCCTCCATTATTCATAACGAATTCAGGTTTGTCTAACCATTACTTTTGTTTGTGATGTTGTATTTTGAGGTTTGACATTCTTAAAACCATCTTATTCCACTATACTCAGATAACCCCGTACATCATATCGTATGTTTTCCCAAATGGAAACCAAAAATCACGCCAAATTGTTGTTTATATCTTAAATTCTCCTTTCATCTTTCTTTGGTGAATTTCAAGCTTTACATTTTTGTATATCCTTGGCTAGTCTCAACCACCATCCATGAGTCTAGATCTGTAAATATCCCACTATACAACACCTTATCAAAATCATCAACAATTAATCTATTTGACATTCATTGTTTCAAGTATTATAATTTTACTGTACGTATGTATTCACCCCAAAAACAAAGAAACAATACTTGGTTATTTGTAAATCTCTCTCCTTTATTCAAAATCTTTAATCTAATTCGTTTCTTTTTTTTTATATTTTTGGTTAGCTTTCACGTTAAATCATAACCTTCTTGAATTAGATTTGTTTTGTAACTTTTCTCGTAAGTGAATTTCAAAAGATTTTGACATTTTTTCAGTTCTTTATTATTTTTTTGTCCATCTTTATCCGTTTTTGCTTCGCCTGTTTCATTTCATCTGAACAATAGGAAATTGTTTAAAAATTCCCCCATCATCGTCATTTTACTTTTTTTATTATATACTTTGAATGTCAAAAAGAAAAATCCCCATGGCACCAACAATTTTTGTGTTTCCCCTTTTAATTTTTCTTTTCTGCTCGTCAATAAACCATGTGACCATATGCACGTGATTATTTGTTTCACGTGCTAATGTTTACTTTTTCTTTTACTCGTCTAAAAAAAAATAATGAAATCAGGAAAAAAAAAAGATTACACGATATCAAGAACCAAAAAATAACCCTTCATTTTCATAATTGGGAAAAATAATAATTTGGCCAAAGGGACTTATAAGGATCTGATCTGATTTTGGACTGTCATTAATAATGAGCGTATCTACTACTACTACTACTACTACTACTTCCAGTGAAGATAAAACTGGAAATCCTGGCTTGGTCTCCACGTCTGATGCATTGATTGCATTTTCAGATCATATACTTGAACAAATTGATGGATTACAAAAAGTTGAATATAATAAGAAAGGTAGAAAGTATCGATTTGTGAATAATACTTTTCAAAGAATTAGACAAGAAGATAAACATTTAATTATATACCCTGAAAATCTTGAAGAAAAATTATCATTTTATTCAGCATTTACAATTTTATACAATATTGGAGAAATTTTAAACCAATTTCCTGATTTTTGTTGTACTATTTTAGGATTAGCTCAAGAATTGGAAAAGAATAAATGGTATGAACCAGAAAATTCAAGCATTATTCATTTAAAAAATGCTAAATATGATCCTAGGGATTTAAAAGATTTGGCAGATGAATATATTACTGAGAATCCAATTAATGATAATCATGTAAGTATGGGATTAAATCTAATGATTGCTTCTAAATTGAATTTCTTACATACTGATCATCATATTGGAACGAAATTAGAGGGTCATTATATGAAATATTTCATTGAATCATATTTTGGAGAAGATGCTTTATTAAGTCATGATGTATTAATTGCTTTAAAAAGTTGTGTACATTGGGGAAATATTAAGGGGATTTTATATAAATTAGATGTTCCTAATATTAAGATAGATGATGAATTACGTTCAAGTTTTGATAAATTTCCTGACCCTATGGAAGAATTGAAAATTAATGTATATGATAGATATCCAAGTGGTACTTCCAAATATTCATTAGTTAAGAAAAGTTTAGAAATTCTTTCTGATTGGAGTTTTTCAAAATTGGTTCCTTGTGATTTGGATTTAGATTGGTTATTTGAAGTTTGTAATGATATTGAAACTAATCCAATCAAATATCATTTACGGTCTCAAACTAAAGATTTATGTGAGAACCCCGTCAACCTTTCAGAATTGAATATGAAATACGGTAAATTGATTAAAAAAGTATTGGAATATGTCAGTTTGATAATTAATATTTTTGAAGATACAGGTGGTGAATTTTTAATGCAAAATTCCAAGATTCCTAAACTAACTCCAGAATTGATTAAACAATATAATGGATTATATAATAAATTAATTGATACCCATGAACAAATAGATAATTACTTGAATAAGAACTGGGATGACGATGATATTATTGCAAGATTAGGAGAATGTAAAAATTCACTTTATATAGCAGTAAATAAGTATTATGATGAATAGATAGATTTGTTTGATCACATGACTTTCTTTTGTGACTTTTCGTGTAAACGCCAAAACAGAAAACAAAAAAAAAAAACACGAGAAATTTTTTTTTCTTCCATCCCACAATTTCCCCCACGCGTTTAATAAATTGTGCATATAGGCGATTGCAAAAATTGACTGATTAACTTACTGAAGGTATACTTAGGTTTCAACAGTTCAATAGATATACTTTATAAGAGGCCATTTCCAAGATCCAGTATTTGAAATCTCTATATTTTGTTTGTAATTAATTCACGGACCGTTTGTATTTATCTCCCTTTATCGGGGCCGATATCTAAGCTTGCGATTTTTTTTTCGGAGTTACCTACATGATATAACATATTGGAACATAAGATGACTTGTATTTTCTTTTGTTTAATCAACATTACTAGCCAATTATAATCAAGTAATAATTTCGATCCATAGCTATCGTCTTCAATTATTAAATGCACTATTATGATTTTTGGTTTTTTTTTTCTTAACTTTGTATCAAATCAATATGATATTTTAACTTTTTTTTTTGGGGAGATTATCGTCATTTAAGTTAAATCCTCCTTCCAAGATATATATACTGTCTTCTTTTATGAAATTGTTTTCTTTTTTTTTTCAAGTAGTTATTGCAATCATCAGTATGTCTATATTTGAAACTAAAGAAAGATCACCTGAAAAGTTAAATTCTTCTTTATCTCAGAAAGAAGATGATAATAATATCAATTGTGAAACCAGCTCTCTGGATTTTGACATGATAGGATTAGAAGGTGATGATACTATATTACATGAAAAGATAATTCTTTTAAATAATGCAATTGATGAAATTGGTTTTACTCCTTATCATTTAAAATTATTTTTACTTAGTGGAATGGGTTATTGCACCGATTGTATGTTAATTTATTTAGAATCTTCAGTACGTACATTTATTAATTATCAATTTGGTTATAAATTTCCAGTTTCAAATGAATGCTATGCAGGTGGTATGATTCTTGGTGCATTATTTTGGGGGTTTGGTGCTGACTTAATAGGAAGAAGATTAGCATTTAATTTATCATTAATTTTGAGTGGAATTTTCACCATTTTAACAGGTATGATGGGTAATATGGCTTCTTATTGTCTATTTGTTTTGTTAAGTTCTTTTGCTGCTGGAGGCAATTTGGTTCTTGACACTTGTGTTTTTCTTGAATATTTACCACATAAAGATCAATGGTTGTTGACTTTTTTTGCACTTTTCTGGGGTATTGGTCAAACCATTGCTGTTTCATTAGCTTATGCATTCTTACCAAATAATAGCTGTGACTCAGCTGAATATTGTCCTTCTCATATCAACCGTGGCTGGAGATATGTCTGGTACACTAATGGTGCTATCGTTTTAGTCATGGCTATATTAAGAGTGTCTGTAGTTAGATTGAAAGAAACACCAAAATTCTTGGTCTCCAATAATCGTGACGCTGAAGCTGTTCAAGTGTTACAGGAAATCGCTGCCAAGTACAACCGTAAATGCTCATTGACATTGGAACAACTTGAAGATTGTGGTGAAATTGAAAGCAATGATGATTATAGGAAACATTTAAATCTCAAAGGTACTATATTATTAGTGTTTAAACATTTGAGAATCTTATTTGCTACAAAAAAATCAACAAGATCAACTAGTTTGTTGTTTTTCAGCTGGACATGTTTGGGAATTTCTTATCCATTATATCTGTCTTTCCTTCCAGTTTATTTAGCTACTAGAGGTGCTAACATTTCCGCTGATACCATTGGTGGTGTTTATCGAGATAATCTTATTGCAAATGTCTGTTCCATTGGTGGGCCAATTATAGCTGGTCTTTTATTATATTGGGTTCCTCTCTTAGGAAGAAGGGGTGTTATGTTTATTGGTGGTGTGACCACAATGGCTTTGCTATTCGGATATACTGCTGTAAGAACCAGAAGTCAAAATGTTGGTTTGACAAGTGCTGTTTATTGCACATTGTACATTTATTATGCCGTAATTTATGCTTATTCTCCTGAAGTCATGCCTTCAGCTGCCAGAGCAACCGGTAATTGTTTGTGTTTGTTTTTCACTAGAGTTGCCACGGCAATGGTTCCAATTATAGCTTATTATTCAGATACATCTTCTTCGGTGCCTATTTGGATCTGTGGAGCATTTGTTGGTGTCATTGGTGTTGTTGCTTTATTCATGCCTTATGAACCAAGCAAACAACGTGTTGTATAAACTAACTGGTTGTTTGATTTGTATTGTAATATGCACGTGACATCAGTTTATTATTCTGTATTACCTACATGATGTTTAGATCTAATATTATAGACTGCGCCGAAACGAAAATATTAATGGGCATGTTATGAGAGTTCCGATAAGGTGAATCACCCTTTTCTCAAACGTTTAGTGGTAGAAAGCAAACTGCTTATTTTTATACTCCCTTCAAACCACTACCTCTTGTTCGTTAATTTACCCTATTAGAAGTTGGTTATATATCTTGACCTGCTCCCCTACCAATATCTCTTGGATAGAGACATAGTATTCCAGAGTTTGTAGATTACATCTACGGTACCGAGTTCCGCCCTACGTTATTCATGTCTAGATAAATATTCCATTATCTTAGAAAATCAACATCTCTCTTCATATCTCACGGCAGACAATTATTGCGTTGAGTAGAAATGTTTTCTTCACACCCCGGCAAGCGTTTTAAAACCCGCCATTAAATGTACGAGCGTGTTTCTATTAAAAAACTTCACGGTTTCTGGCGTTGAGGATGAATTTTTTTTTTTTTTTTTTTACAATTTTTTTTTTCTCACTGTTTATATTCTTCGCTTGAAATCTGTAATCAAGTATTATTATTTTTATAATATCTGTTGGCTAATTATAGTATGATAATGAAAACAAAAGGTCATAGAGAATCTTCACAGGATGTGGTTAATATGATGAATCTTAGAAAGTCTTCAAGAATTGCCAAATTAAGTTTATCTGCTAGTCCAAATATTAAAGAGCTGGTACCAAAGACAAGTGATTTTATTGAACCAGAATTGGCTAAACCAGGTCCAACAGGTTTTCCAAATCTTCCTAGTAGTAAAGTTAAAAAGGAATATTTATGGTCATCAAAATATAGACGTCCGAGTTCAGGTTCTCGAGAGAGCACACCAGGAGATGACACTACTGAAGTTTTGGAAAAAATTGAAAGTACTTATCGTGATGGTTTAAAGAAAGAGGAATTTGAACAAGAAAGTGATATTAGACATCCTAACCAACCACGAAGGTCAAAGAGATTAAGAGCAACTACTCCATTGGTACCACCAAGTACTCCAAAAAGATCCTCATCATCCTCAAGTTCACTTTCTTCGGGTAAGTCGCTGAAAAAGGCTAAAGTTACATCATCACCAATAAAACCACCAAGAAATAAGTTATACAGTCTGAGTACAGTTAAAAAGGAGAAATCTACAGAAAAAGAGAAAGAGAAAGAAACCCAAGAAAATGATGATTTTTGTTCTTCATGTGAATTACCGGGAATTTTAATTTGTTGTGAATCATGTCCGAAATCTTTTCATTTCACGTGTTGTGATCCTCCATTGGAAGAAGCACCAGAAGATGAATGGTATTGTCAAGAATGTTATAGTAAAATACATCCCCCGATTCTAACCGAAGGAATTTTCGGAAAACTACTATTTGAATTGGAGAAAACAAACCCAAAGGAATTTAAACTACCTGTTAAATTTCAACTTCCTAAAAATGAATCACAACTACAGGAGAGAATCAAAGATAAGAATTGGGATCTTGAAGCATTGTACGATGAAAATGATAAACCCTATTTGTGCCATTGCTGTGGTGGATCTGGTCTTAATAGAAGAACTTTAATACATTGTGACTATTGTCCATTGGTTTATCATATTGATTGTTTGAATCCACCAATGTTTGGACCCAAGACTCTCGGCGAAAAATGGAAATGTCCTAATCATATTGATGACTTAATTCCAAAGGATTTCCCTAAAATGTTCCAATATATTGAAGGTGAACAACATCCACTCACTAATTTTATTGAAATTTCCAATGGAGGTAATAAATCCACAATATACCGTATCCCTGAAACACTGATACTAATAGATTTTATAGATAAAGTGGAAAAGCGTCAAGTTTTGGATAGCATTCAGGAGTATGACAACCAAAGCCGTATTGAACAAAACCCAGAAGAATTTGAAGCTGTTGAAAACTTGAACGAGATTAAAGAGAGACAAAAAGTATTGAATCTAGATGCATTGTTAAAAGTTGCTAATGATGAAAAAGTCAAACTAGATACACAAGAATCACTTGATGCGGATGAAATCCAAGACTTGTTGAAGATCAAATATTTGATGAAACTTAAAGGTCAAGAAGCGTTATTAAAGTTTTTACAATCTTAAATTAGCAAAAAAAGTTAAATGGGAGTCTATGAAATCCTCTCTTATGTACAATGCATGAACAATGAATACACATGAATCATATTTTTTTTTTTTTTGATTTTACACTTTTTTGGTTAGCTCCACTTGGTTGTTATTGCTTAACTCTTTGATGAAACCTATCTACATGTTGTTAAATATCCCAACCTCACACGACTTTCTCATACTTTATTTTATTTTTCCTTACGAATCAGCCCTGTTGCCAATTTCATGAATACAGCTTTGGTTTGTCTCTTAGCATCCAACGTATTCGTTCCACCACTCCCTTACCATTCAACAGTTGTCCTCATTGCAAACTATATATATATATAAATATCAGACTTATTAGAGATGTTTCTTGTTATTAATTTATTAATTGACTTTGTATACTGGCTCAATCAGAAATTTAGATACTTTTCAGATTTAATTATTGGTACAGTTTTTGAACCAAGATGTGACATTGTATTAATCACAGGAGGTGCTAGTGGATTAGGAAAACAACTTGTTCTACAGTTGAAATATAAAAAGGCAAATGTAGTAGTATTTGATATCAAAATCCCATCTGAACCAGAAAAAGTCCCCGGGGTTGCTTATTATCAATGTGATGTAAGTGATAGACAACAGATTTTGCAAACACAAAAAATGGTTCAACGAGAAATTGGAGTTGTTACTGTACTAATTAATAATGCTGGTATTGCTACTGGGAAAACAGTATTAGATTTATCATATCTTGAAATTGAAAAGACTATTCAAGTCAATTTATTATCAAGTTTTTATACCATTAAGGCATTTCTTCCAGATATGATTTTGAAAAATCGTGGATATATAATAACTATTGCTTCGGTGTTGGGGTACATGTCACCAGCAAGACTAAGTGCATATGGTGCTTCCAAATCGGGATTGATTGCGTTGCATGAATCATTGACGTATGAATTGGGATCTCCATCATTGAATCCCCATGGCATTAAAACCTTATTAGTTTGTCCAGGTCAGTTGAAAACAGGAATGTTTCAAGGTGTTAAGACTCCATCAACTATACTTGCACCAGAACTAGACCCGAAATTTGTTGCATCTTATGTAGTAAATGCAATAGAACAAGGACGACGGGGAGAAATCAAATTGCCTTTGTACGGGAAAGTGATACCAATTTTCCGGGCATTTCCTTGGCCAATTGTAGAGTTAACAAGAAAAATTTGTGGTATTGATAAAAGTATGGTTGAATTCAAGGCAAAGCTTTCAAAAGTAGCTAGTAGTGTTTCATCAATGACAAATTTTTCATTGAATGGGTCTAATAATGTATCTGCGACTACGGCAACTGAACTGCTACACGTTGATAGTACAGCTAGTAGGATAAGTGATAGTCGTACCAACAAGGTGGTGTTATTATCAAACAAGGAATAACTCCAAGACACAAAAGTGTAGAATGGGCTTTTGCCAAAATTTGTGGTTGCTAGTTTCGGATTTAAAACGAGTTGCATTCGGGGAGTGTCGCTTGCGTCCGCGGGTGATGTTTTCCGATCTGAGCCAGCAGTGCATAAGTTAAACCGTGAAATTCATAATGAAAAGAGAGAAAAAAAAATATTCCACCATGAATCCTTCACGTTGTACTTGTACCTTATACTTCAAAAGATGCAACTTTGGCTATATAAATATATATAGAGAGAGATGTACAAGTCCCTTCATTTTTTCTTTTTTCCTTTTTTTTTTTTGGTTTAGTTTTTTATTTCCTTTTCTTAAACTAGTCCCGGTGACGCCTTGTATTTTTTTTTTATAAACCTGTTTTGGTGACGCCTTGTGTCTTTATTACACCCGTGGCAACCGTTAGCATAACTGCGTTGGAATGAGTATATTTGAAGAAAGTTATTTGGAACATGATAGTTGTAAATTCCACACATTCACCTATACAGAGTCACCAAAAGTTAACTACAGAGGAGTAGTGATTATTGTTCATGGATGGAGTGAACATATCTTAATGTATAAAGACACAGCGAAAGTGCTATCGTCAATGGGGTTTCACTGTTTTGCTTATGATCAACGAGAATGTGGTAAAACTAAAGGTAAGTATACGAACAGTGAATGTTATATTGATGATCTTGACTTTATGGTTAATTGTATTTTAGAGAAGAAAAGTAAAGGTCAAAAAGTACATCTTTTGGGACATTCTATGGGAGGTGCTGTTGTACTTGATTATCTTCAGAAAGGGAAATGCCGGAACAATATTGCGGCAGTTATTGCTTCTGGACCTTATATTCGACATAATCCTAAAACTGCACCATCAATGTTAGTTACACTACTTTTGGATATAATAGCTTATATTTTCCCTAGCTTCAAATATAGTGAAGCCAAGTCCCTTGAAAATTATAGAAAAGTAACAACCAACAAAGAAAAACAATTAGAAATGTTTAATGATGATTTATGCATACCATCGTCTTCAATCCGAATAATTGCAGATATGTTCCATAGGGGGAAACGGCTATTGAACTCTGCACCTACATATTCAACAAATGCTAGAATGTTGATTTTACAATCTCAAAATGATGAAATTGTTAGCTCCTTAGCACTGAAGCAATTCATTGAAGGATTACCCATAAAATGTAAGAAAATTGTTATGTTTGAAAATTCAGGTCATTCATTACTACTAGAAAAAGAATCTACAGTTAAAGAAGCATTTGCAATTATTGATGATTTTCTTAAGGATAATACTATATAGATTGTGTCATTTTCTTTTTTTTTTTGCCTATATTACCAAACAATTACGATCTATAGTCACCATTAATAGTAACGTATTCATGAGATAAATCACAGGTCCAGAAACTAGCACTTTGTCCACCACCAGTACCTAAATCAACTTCAATTACCAAATCTTCATCTTGTAATATTTCTGAAGCTCTATCTTCGTCAACTTTTTCAGGTTCACCATTAACCAAATAATTTTAATGGGTTCACTTCCATCAACTGGAACAAATTTAACACTGGTTTTATTTGGAATGACAGATTGATCAGTAGAAACATCAGCATATCCAATGGCACACAAGATACGTCCCCAATTGGCATCTTTACCATACATTGCTGTTTTAAAAAGTGAAGAATTGGCAATACTTGAAGCAATAGATTTAGCATCTTTATAAGATAATGCATCATTAACTTTAAGAGTAATGAATTTAGTAGCACCTTCACCATCTCTAACTACCAATTGTGCCAACTGTTGAGCAAAATCAACAATTTCAGTTTGTAAAGCAGAAAATCTCTCGGCGCTTGAAGATGTATTATCAATTAATTCACCACCTGCGGCACCATTAGCCATAGCAACAATAGTATCATTTGTTGACATATCTCCATCAACAGTAATACTATTGAAAGATCTATCAACTGCATACCTTAAAATTTGTTGTAATGCATTTGGTGAAACTGGAGCATCAGTAACGAAGAATCCTAATAATGTAGCCATGTTGGGACAAATCATACCTGCACCTTTACATAACCCGGCTAAAGTATAAGTATCATTTCCAAGATTGAATTGCTTAGTTACTAATTTTGGAAATGTATCAGTAGTACAAATGGCAGTTGCACAGTCAATCCAATGTTGATGAGTATTACCTAAATGATTTAATGATAATTTTGGAATTCCAGTTAAAATATTATCAATTGGTAAATTATTTCCAATTACACCAGTTGACATAACTAAAGTGGAATCTTTAGGATTTTCCAATACAGAATCAGTAACAGTAACCATTTCTTCAGCATCTTTCATACCTTTACTTCCAGTAACTGCATTTGCATTACCACTATTAATTACAAATGAATTAATACCCGAACCTGATTTTTGTTTTAATATTCTCATTGAAACTTGAACAGGTGCAGCTTTAAATTTATTTTGAGTGAATACACCAGCAGTTGAAGCTTCTTTATTAAATGTATTTTGTAAAATTGCTAAATCTAATGATTTACCATCTTTTTTAACCCCACAATGAATACCACCCACGGCATAACCTTTTGGGTAAACACCTGATTTTGGAACAAATCTTGTAGCTTTATCAGACAAGAATCTAATACTATATTTTGATATACTCATTGGGAAGAAATACAATCGATGATAAGTTTGAAAACAGTATTGACGAGAAGGAGGAGGAGAAAGAAGAGCTTTTTTTTTTGGACGTTGATTGAAAAATTTTTTGATAACCAAAAAATCCACTAAAAAATTAAGCGCGATTTGCCTAGTTGAGAAATGTGTGTGTATAATGGGACAAAAAAAATTTCTCCGGTTAAGGAACAAATAAGATATGAGTCATTGATGGAAAAATTGGGGTAAATTATATGCTATAAGACATGATAATATCTATCTCTCTTAGAATGTAAGCATATCCATCAGGAATAGCATCAATCGTAGTAAACTGTTCATCAGTATCTGTAGCGAAACCGACAGGCATCGTGCGAAGAGGAATCAGCGTCTAACGAAAAATAAAAATGAACGAAGGCATCTTATACTTATTCCATCTTTAGTGATGTATATGATGTCAGGATGAAATCATTTAAACTACCCAGAAGGCTTTCATATATACTACGAGGTCACTATTCTACCAGGGTTTCACTTACTCAGCCACCAACTCAATTTACAACTTCAATATTTGACATTGCTAATGATATACCCAAGACATTACCTAGATCAAGTCATGTTCAACTTACTAAATTTTATCAAAGTATTAAAACACAAGATCTTGAATTAGCATCAGTTTTATTATCTGAAATTTCTAAAAATGCATTAAAACTGATTATTAATAAATCAAGAAATATCTCTATTGAATTTTATTTTGATTGCTTGAAAATTATATTGGAGAATTATTTAAATTCAGGTACTTTTAAACCAATAAATCTACTACGACAAAATGTTGAAGAGTATCAGAATATTTTAAGTAGATTTGATGAAGTGTTACCTGAACAAGAAGATATTGAAATGAGTATATTGAAATCGATCATACATACGTATTCTGTTTCTAAAAAATCCAAACTGACTTCAATGTTTACTATCCCAATAATGGAATATTTCATAACTGTATTAAATTCATTCAAGATAGATGTTCAAAAGTTATATCTAAGTACTGAAGAGGAAGAGTTGAGGAAGTATTTAGTTGAAATTTGTCAAATTAAAAATATAAAATTAGTTTCAGTGACAACGAACATGGATAAAGAACTTAAAAATTTCAATGTTCCTATTGATTCATATTTAGATAAATATGGAGGGATTGATTATGATGGGATTTGTAATTATATTTCAGATAATAAATTCAAATGGAATAATAAAGAAATTAAAACGAGATTATTTCAATTTTATGAAACTTTACCAAAAGAGGAAGCAGAGAAGTTCATGAATGAATATTTACAATTTAATAAAGTGAAAGAAATATCAATTGAAAGTTTTACTAATAGAATTGTTCATGCTTCACTGAAGGCATCTAAAGAATTTCAAAGATCTTTTGGATTTGTTCATTCAGAAAGTGATTTATTATCTGAATGGATAGCATTAATAAGTGATCATACCAATAAATTATTAAGTATTAAAATACCAGTATCAGATGATGAGAAAACTTTGCAATATTTCAAACCTTTTTTGGAAACTGTTAGTGTTGAATCTATTGCTAGTTATGTTGTACAATCATTATTAGGAACAGGTGATAATAATCGACTACAAGTTATTCTTCAAAAAATGAGATATTCATATCCCAGTATATTATCACAACAGGGAGGATCATCAAAGAAGAATTCCACAATATTTAAGTATATAACAGATGATTCATACAACAAGTTGACAGAAGTTTTCATTAATATTATTGTTGAAAACTGTAAAATTTTTATTTCAGAAGAAGAGCAGGAGAAGTTTCAGAATACTATGAAATTACAGAATAGAACCATTCCTCCGGAATTCAAGATCAATGATGGAAGTAACAAATATCCAGCATTTTTTATTGCTAAAGAATATGACAGTAGAATAGGTTATGCTGTATACACGATAGATATTCACCCCTATTTAGAATCAAAATTAGAGACATTTACAACGGGGACTTATTTTCGATATTTACCTTTATTATGTCCACCAAAACCATGGACAAATTCTCAAAATGGTGGATATTTGAATTACCAAACAAGATTAATTGCAACTACAGATACTGTACATAAAAAACTTTTAGAAAAAGCTGGAGTTCGTGGACAATTAGATAGTGCATATAATTGTCTTGATCAAATTGGAAATACTCCTTGGGCAATTAATCCACAAATGTTGGATGTATTTAATAAGGTTATAAATTATCCAAATGGGTTTCTTGAAATACCGGCGATCATACCCGATCTGAACTTACCTTCAAAAGAAAGAAGAGAATTGAAAAATTTAAGAACATCGATTGAGATAACCAATAAAGTTGCTAATGCATTTGGTAAGAATGGAGATTTATTATATCATTGTTATATGCTTGATTTTAGAGGAAGAGTGTATACGTTCTCTCCATTGACTCATTATGGATCAGATTTGACAAGATCTTTGTTCTTGTTCTGGAAAAGTCAACCATTAGGGGAAAATGGGTTTTATTGGGTGAAATATCAACTTGCTTCGTTGTTTGGCATTAAAAATTGTGAGGAATTCTATGAAGAAAACAAGCAAAACATCATAGATTCGGCAATGAATCCTTTGGATGGATCCAGATGGTGGATGAAAGCAGATAAACCATTCTGTGCTTTATCTGTTTGTTTTGAAATTAAGAATATTTTGGATTTCCAAGAATCAGGAAATAATATTGAAGATTATTTATCACGACTTCCTATACATCAAGATGGTTCATGTAATGGATTACAACATTATGCTGCATTAGCCGCGGATGAAAACGGAGGCAGAGCTGTGAATTTAATTGGCGTTGGTGATTCCAAGCAAGATGTTTATATTGAAGTTATGAAGGTGGTTAGGGGTAAGATTGAAAAGGATATCAAGGATGCCAAGTTACCTGAGGAAACAATCGACCTTGCAAAATTTTATTTAAAAATTCTTTGTCGAAAATTAGTGAAACGACCAGTGATGACAACGGTATATGGTGTGACATTAGCAGGAGCAAGTGCACAAATCAAGTCAACCATTAAGGAGATACTTGATGAGCATCGTACTAATCCAGAAATAAACACATTTGATCAAGAGACATTAGCAAGGTTGTCAACTTTTAAACTAAATCATACGATGTATCTTGCCAGGAAAGTTCTTGAATCAATTGATGAATTATTTGGGCATGCAAAACAGATAGAAACATGGCTATTACAAAACACCAAAAGAATATTAACTGCATATAATGTTAAACTTCTTGATTATGTACAAGAAAAGGACACTAAATTATATGAAAATATTTTTAAAAGGTCAGTGAGTTATACACCTATGAGCTGGACTGCACCAAGTGGATTTCCTGTTATTCAAATATATCGTCAAATCAAACATAAAATGTCACTGGGGCCGATGGAAGAACTTACTATTCGTAATTGGAACAAACTTTATCCTATGGATAGATATAAACATGAATTAGCAATTGCGCCTAATTTTATTCATTCATTAGACGCATCTCATATGTTTATGACCTGTGAAGAAGCCAATAAACAAGGAATTACATTTAGTGCAATTCATGATTCTTATTGGACTCATCCTGTTCATGTTGATCAATTATCTAGAATATTACGAGAGAAATTTGTTGAATTATATTCATTTGATTATTTGGAATATGTTAAACAAGAATTTATTGCACAAGTTAAAGGATCTTATCAATTAGTGGAATTTGACCCGGATAGCTATCCCGAATTAGCAACAAAAATAAAAGAAATACGTAAGAAATATCCAGAACGAATGAAAGTTCATAAATTGGCACTTGAATTAAGAGAAATGACCGAACAAGGAGAAGAACATATAATGAGGAAATTATATCACGAATATAAACCAGAGGTGTATCATACAGTTTCAACAAAGACTTATCATTATCTGAACGTATTATCACCAGAAGTTCCTAAACTTCGTAGAAATAGAGTAGCAATGTTTGTTCCAGTTGTAATTCTAGATGTTCCTCCAAAGGGGAATTTAGATATCACAAATGTATTAAATAGTAAATATTTCTTTTCATAGAATAATCTTGTATATATATATATATACATTATTTAGAGTCGTTTATCATTCTTTCTAATTTGCCAAACACTTTATCTCGATGTATAGCCATTGGGTCTGCTGTATCGGATGCAAAGAATTTATTTCTTTTAAAATCCCTTTCTCCTTCATCATCGCCAGCATTACCTTCATAATAGTAATCCTCATTATCCAAATTTTCCAATTCTTCATAATCATAATATTCGTCATCTCCCGTGAAACCTACTCCATCATGAGGAACGTAACCTTCATCATCATCATCTTCTTCGTCATTATTACCATTAATAATATCATCATTATTTAACATATCATCTTGTACAATTAACCCACCATCATCTTCATCACTTGGATAATCATTCTGATAGAAAGATTCCGCATTTGAATCTTCATCATCTGTTAAAACACTTGGTCTATTTTCGTCTTCTTCTTCATTTATTAATAAACTTTGATCGTTATCATCTTCAAAAAATCGAATATATCCAATTTGTGACAGTGGATGATTTGCAGTTGTTAATGGTTCACTTTCACTTAATTGATAAACATCATAAACATACTGAGATTCTTCTACTTCTTCACTATTTAGTAATTGATTTCTGTTCATTGAAGTTCCTGAAGATGAATCATTACTTGCTCTTCTATTTTTCCCACCTCTTAATTTCCTTTTCTTTTTACCATCATCATGTTCCAAAGTTAGAAAACTATCAACCATATCTGATAATTCATTAGGAATTTGTATATCTTCTTCAGTTTGATGTTTTGGAATAATGAAATTTCTCTTTTGATGATTATTTTCAGGAAAGGGACTTTCATCAATCGAACCTCTTTGGGATTCAGCAATAATTGTTTGAATAATAGATGCATCATTAGCATTAACTTTATCTGACTCATCAGTTCTAGCTAGTTTAAATACATAATTAAGATTCTCTTTAGATGTTATTCTTCTTGGTGTGGCAATTGGTGATAATTTAGGTGATGCAGTTGGTGATGATGGTTTTGAACGCTTGACATTTCGTCTATCCTCAAGGATTAAAGCTTGCAATGGATCTTGATGTCTCTTTCTTTTAATTCTTAAAATCTTTGGTGGCTCACTAGACATGTTGTTGTTGTTTTGGGGGTAATGCTACTGCAAAAGAAACTAAATGGGCGATAATGAATTATCAGTGGGGAAAAGAGAAAAAAAAAAAATCATTCACCTGGCGAGAGGAAAAGTGTTGAACGAACAAACTAATCAATCATTCAGTCCACGGGCGAAACTAAAAACCAAAACCAAAAAAATGAAGAAAAAAAAATTTTTAAATGACTCTATTTAATTATTAATGCCAGTTTGAATATTGAATACAACTGCAGGAAATTGGGTTATTTCTGCAGTGACATTAGATTCTATACCAAAACTCATCAATATTCCTCGTATAACTCCACATGGAAACCATAAATAAACCTTTGATTTAGCTAAAGTATCTTGCATACCTTTTGAACTATTCAATTGAGAAATCAATTTAAAATTATTATCCACTAATACAAAAGTACCTCTATGATTTGTTCTTAAATTATCCATTTGCTTATTATATAAACATCTCCAAGCATCTCGACACACAAATTTCATTATATCTAAAATATCAACCACTTTACTTCCAGAACTCTTGTATAACAACACTTCTGCGATTTTTAATCCTAAATTATATCCATACGTTTCCACTCTAATGGAAACTTCATCACTATCTGTCAATTCAGAATCGAGAATGTTGACAGTTCCTGGGAAATCATCTTTGATGCTAGAAAGTTGTCGATCTATCCTTGTTTGTTCAGTTTCTTCATCGAATGTCGACACGGTTGGATCAAGTAGTTTATGAGAGACACGAATTGAAGTCGGTACTAACTCCTGTAGTAAATATTGTAAACTGGAATTGCTGACATATGTTTGTTTATCTAATGTATCTTCAGTCATTAAGAATGTAATGTGATTGACAGTAGTTGTAAGGTTGGTTTACGTTTTTTTGTTTGTGTGTAATTTTTTTTCCCCTTCTGTTCGTCATAGTGTTTTTTTTTTCTACACGACCGCGATTCTTTTTGTTGTTGTTGCCAACAGGTTGCTAAAAATCATCTGCCCTGGGCTGTCGCTAATAAGAATAGATTACACATACAATTGTATACTGAATAGGAAATGTATACCACCTAGAAGTGCTCACTGTAATGGCAAAATATATGAACCGGCATTGAAATGAGTAATACTGGTGTTGTCATTCCAGACACCAACATAACCTTATCCATGATAGAATAAGTTTGATCGGTTTCCCGCTTTTTAAGGTTATATATCATTCATTGGGTCTATTGATATAATATCCAACATGTAGTGACTGGAAATGTTAGAAACAGGAAACATGTCAATACATCATACTTTTACGTCTATTGAGAATCCAATGAGAACAGAAATTAGATTCAAAGGATGCTTCACCTATCCTTCCATTCTTTTATGATCCATTTTTGGTTAAATTCAAATCAATTCGGTTTGTAGAATTATCTAAACAAAGATAAAATTCAACAATTTCATAAAAAGGTTTCATAAAGCTTGTTAAAATTTATCTCTAAATGAAATAAAGTTTTTAATCTAATAAAAACAAACAAATGAGGTTAACTTTTATTTTCTTGCTTTTGTTCACAAATTAATGTTTGAGGTGAATTGTTAGTTGGGTTTTGATATAGATGACTAATGTAGTCTATGTGAAATATAAACAAGTTCATAAACGATTAGTTGGCAATTTAAGCCATGAAAAGTTAAAGCGAAGGACAAGAAGTTCTTCACCGTGACTTGCAATTCTGATTTACACATCTGTCAAACTAAGTCTTCATGGTGTCTCCTGTCTTTGTCTTCCTCTGTGGCTTTTACCTAGTGAACAATAAGAATATAATAATATGAAAGAAACAATAGAATTTGTCGGGTATTACAGGCATTACAGTAAATAAAAATTACAAGCTACTGTCCAATTGGTTATCCCGAACTAAACTTTTTAATCCGATGTCATGATCAAAATGAAATAAAATAAAAATTCAAAACAAGAGGGATAGCACTTAGATGCAAAAGCTTAAGGATCAACTCGGCTTTGCAAATAGTGTAGTATTCTAGTACATAATCACATTGACTTTCATAATCTTCTTTATTGTATGCTAAATTTTAAGTATCCCATGGTGTGTGCCCTGCCCAATTTTGTTCAATAAGCACGCATATTCTTTCTTGTACTGGGTGCAGTTGACACAATTTTGTTGTATTCTCAGTTTGTGCACTACCTGGGATTTTTTTTTTTTTAATTATACAACCGACACAAAACTGAGTACTATTGGAGTTATTCAAATTTTAGACTTCTTTTTTTTGTTTTTTTGTTTTCAATGCAATGTTTTTGTTTAATGAATTGATAGAATAAGAAAACCAATTTTCACGGTGGGTTTAAGCCGAAAAGAAAAGATAAAATTTCATCATTTTGTTTTGTTTTGTTTTAAGCATAAGGAATAAGAATTAAAATTTTGTCCCACTGTAAAAATCGTTTTCTTTTTGTTGTTGTTGTTGTTTTTATTATAAATTTGCTTGGATTTCTTTTTCAGTTTTGTTTGGTTGTCTCCATAAAACTTAATCACACCTTGACGCATTTACACGCACAATTTTTGTACAGGTGCACGCACATGCACACTCACACACAAATTTACAAACTAAGACAATTTACAGTGCACACACTCATTTAGACAGCAAAAAAAAAAAAAAAAAAACTTCAGACTCTCTTTTTTTTAATTCCCCTTTCCTTTTTTTTTTTGTTCGCATAGACACCTCCTCCAAGTATCAAAAAAAAAAAAAAAAAAAAAAAAACAATTGAATAATAGAATAACAATAATTTTCAATCAATTTCAATCAAAGTTATCATCAATTATTATCATTGCAATAAAGATTATCATAATATAAATCAACATCCCTTAAAGAAAAACTACCAGCATCCAACTATTACTACCACTAATTATAACTCGTTAAAGAGTTCCTTCATCAATTGGAACGTGTTTACATTTTAATAATTTTTTCTTTTCTTTTCATCTTTTTCATATAGTAGTTACCCATTAATACGTTTAGAAATCATTACTAGGATACAGTGTAAGGAGAAGAGTAAAAATGTCACAGTTTCATAATATACCTCAATCAAATGGTCCCCCTCCAACTCATATACAAGGACCTCCACCGCCACCACAACATGTCATAACCAATTCGTTTAGCAATAACCAGCAACAACAACATCAACAGATACACTCTGCAACTTCCACAGGTTTATTAAAAGTCAGTAATTTGCCATCCGACTTAACTAGAAGAGAAGCAGCATTGATTTTTTCATTAGTCATTGACGAGATGTTGAGTATCGAAATGAAGGATTTTTGCATATACGCAGTGTTTAAAAACATCAATACTTGTATTACAACTGGAAAATTACTCGACGGCAAATATATATTTGGGAATGATTATCCTCCAATCAAGGTGGAATATGAAAGTAACACACTAACAAGTTCACCGACTACCATGTCTTCGACTCAAGCTGCATTTAATTCATTAAGGTTATCTACATCATCTGCATCTAATATTTCTCCACCAAGCATTACTCATCAACAATTGCATCATCAAAATTCAAACAGTTCTATTGGAAATGGAAGTTCGGGCCCAAATCCAAGTAATACTTTTGACATGCTTCCCAAAAGACAATCTATTGGAAACCCACGTTCCAGATTTGTGTTTAGTGATCCATTTTCTCATGAACAACAACAACAACATCAGCAACAACAACAACAGCAGCAGCAGCAACAACAGCAACAGCAACAGCAAGGACCAAACCAGAACCAACAGCAACAACAGATTCCGCAACCATCTATGCCTCACCTGCAAGCACAGGGTCCACCTATGCTTCATCATCGTCTAAGTTCTGGACCACCATCCACGGGACCTACACCTATGGATTTATCTGAATTAAGTGGCAAATCCATTTTATTAATGGAGTCTCAAAATGATGCTAGAGAATATGAAAATTTGGTTAGAGATTCTTGGGACCCTACCCATACCAATACAGGTATTCCTTTGTTGTCATCCAATCCACAAACCCCTGGTGTCAATTCAAGTATTGATTGGAATAATCCTTCAAATGGGTTGAATGGATCAAATCAACCAACAGATCGTCGCAGAGCATCCTCTGCATTTTTCAATACTGCACCTGCTTTACATACGATGACATCAGAGCAAGCAAACCCACAAGTTTCACAACAGGGTCCAACTGCAGCTGGTATAAGAAATGCATTACAACATCCAGAGCATCAACAGCAACAACAACAACAACAACCACCGCAACAACAGCAACTGCAACAACCACCTCAACAACATCAGCTCCCACAAGAACAGCAGAAAATTTTGCAACCACAACAACTTCAGGACCAATCACAAGAGAAGCAAACTCATCCCCAATCACAGCTGCATAATCAACCGAATAATATTCACCATGTGTCACCGCCATCTTCCTCGACTGTCCTTCAACAACAACAACCACAACCCAAGTCAACGTCTACATCTACCCCAACACAACAATCCACTACTAGTCCACCTTCTCATAGAAACTCTACTACTTCGAAAGACATTCCTGATTTGTCATTGTTGGCTAGAGTACCACCACCTGCTAATCCGGCTGATCAAAATCCTCCTTGTAACACATTATATGTTGGTAATTTGCCTCCAGATGCCACCGAGGCAGAACTTCGTACTTTGTTTTCCCCACAAAAAGGGTTCAGAAGACTTTCTTTTAGAACCAAAAACCAATCGTCTACAAACGGATCTGGGTCAACCAGTCATAACCATGGTCCAATGTGTTTTGTTGAATTTGAAGATGTTGCACATGCAACTAGAGCATTGGCAGAGTTGTATGGAAGTGCATTGCCAAGACCTAATGGTGGAAATGGCAAAGGAGGCATTAGATTGTCTTTTTCAAAGAATCCATTGGGTGTTAGAGGACCAGGAAATCCAAGGAGAACATCTACAAACCCATTACCAAACGGGTCTTCCCAAGCTCAAAATCAACAACAACCTGCTCAACAATCACAAGGAGGAAACTATGGATACCTGAACTATCATCAAAAATAATTATTCTCCTTTATTTTTTTGAAACATTCTTTTTTTTATGTATTGGTTATTCATTTCATTTTATTAAACCCTGTATTTTTTTATATATATTATTTCTATTTTTATTCAATATTCATCTTCAATTGTGCTATTTGGTTTATATCATTAGTTCCTTCATTTTGCTACAATATTCTATCAAGTGGTACATTTCATTCAGACTTGTCATTATTTTCCTTTGCTAAATCTATTGATGATATTTTCTAATGTTCATTATTATTCTAATATTTTGTTTATCTATTTCAGTTTTTTATTATCATTATTTGTATTACTGTTGTCATTCTTGTTATAAATTGTTTGTTTTTACCTATTTTTATTATCTATTGTTTTTATTTAATATATGTTTTCTATTCCTAGAAGGATATATAAAAATTAAAAAGATCAGCTTTTGATAGTTCTGTTGATATTCTACAGATATGATTCCAGTCAAAGATACACAGCCAAGTTGTATCAATAATATCATTCTTTCAAACTAACAGCGTTTTATTCGTATCTAACATAAAACTATAAACTACTCTAAACTATAACAAGATTATCACTACAATTTTAACCACTGCCCCCCTCTCCTTTGGTGTTGCCAATTGGTTGTAAAATCAAAACCTAAAAAAAAAAAAAAAGAAGACATGTAATTTTTTTTTCTTCTTCTTTCCTTATTTCTAAACTTTATTATTGTTGTTGTTTCACGATTCCCTTTTGACGACCATCTATACTCTTGACAACTTCAATTAGAAAGATGACTAAAAGAAAAGTGAATACTCACAATAATAATTATCCTCCAAGTTACTTTCAAGAAGAAGTTCCTAAAAAACAAATCAACCACACCAAAACTCTGCATTCAAAACATGGTCCTGTAGCAGCAGCTACCATTACAACCACGTCCAATAATACATCAACCAACAGCAAGAAAACCAAGAAATATAAATCTGTTGGTACTCAAACTTTACATTCAAGTGTGCCAGGAATTGGTTTACATTATGTTGAAGCTCTGACTTTTAGAAACTCCATTGACGAAGGGTCTATTTCCCGAATCAGCCATGATACGGATCTTGAATATTTATATCGATTTGTCAACTCATTTCAATAATTTGACTAATTCTTTAGGATCAGCATAAACTTGAGATAACCAATTGGTGTTTAGTAAATCATCTGGAGTTGATCTCTTATCTGCTTGAGGATTTAATAACCCTAGAATGGATTCCCTCGAATCATAATGCAAACTTTTAAATAATGCCAATGCTGGATTTGATGTAAACGAATTATTCTTGCTATTTAAATCAACCAATACTTGACTCATTTTAGATGGCAAATTCGGGAAATGTTTCTTATAATTATTAAATGCCATATCCAGATTACTTGCTGTACTCCATGGACATTTCATTAAAAAAATTGTGAAATATATGATTCCCAAGGCCCAATAATCAAGGTATTTGAATTTTTCTGCGGACTCTTGAAAATATTCATCATAGTTGAATTTATCTTCCTTGATTTGATGTTCAATTTGAAATAATTCCGGTGCTTTGAAACTGTTTGTTCCGCAATACAACTCATGAGGATTAGCCTTCAAGTGTTCTTTGTAAGAATCGGAAGTGATATTCAAACTATATCCAAAATCGGATATTTTTAACACCCCGTCGGAATCAATCATGAAGTTTTCAGGTTTTAAATCACGATGAACAATTCCTTTACGATGAAGGTAACTGATACCTTTTAAAATCTGCTTGAAAATAGCATCCTTCATACTTGCTGATAGTTCGATTTTGAATCTTCTTAATTTGGATAGATAATCCAACAAATCACCCTTTGGATAATATGGTAAAATCAATGCCATATCGGTGGTTTCCGAAATTGCACAAAGATCAATCACGGGGATGATATTTTTATGGCTACACATTTTCATGTTGTTATATTCACGCAAGACTTCCCTTTTATAATCTGGCAAAGTTTGGTCTGTCTTTTTCTTGACACGTTTTAAAACCAATGATTCAGTATGAGACGCATCGGTTCCTTTGAAAATAATACCGTTTGCACCTTCATAAATTGGTTTCGATGAAGTTTTAGAATATTGAACTCCGATCACCGGCATATTTTCAATTGGATTTTCATCAAAGGAGAATGCAGTATATATTGGGGAAGCAAGAACCTGAGATTTAGGACGAGAATTGTCTAGCAGTGGTCCAGATTCACTCGAGGAAGTCAATGACTTTGAACCCTTGGAAGTAAATGATTTAAACATAGTTTTGGTAAAATCTTAATTTCGTTGGTTATTCCGGTAGATACAAATCAATGATTAATTGAGATGCTTCTGAGGGTTGTTTATTCGGATTTTGTTGATTTTATGATTAATAATAATAATAATGAAAGCAAGGACTATTTTTCTAATTAGTTATCGTATTATTATTCCTCCTTGTTGTTGGGACATATACTAATTGAATATCATTAATGTATTTTCTTTTAATGTCAATGAATTGGAAGCAATGGGAAGATTAGAAACGGATGAATATTTAAGTTTCGGTATTAATAATAATACAAAAAAAAAAAACCGGACAAGGATAAATTTGAAGGGAAAAAATAAAACAAATTGAAATGTATCAGAACTACAAAATTTTGTAAAGAAGCAGGATTTTAATTGTCTTCTGGTTAGTAAAGCGCCCTGATTGTTGACTATTTATTTTAAATTAGATTACGGGTACAGTAAATTAAATTACATTTGATTCGATTGCGATTTTCTAAGAACAAAAAATTCTCATGTAATTTCAGAATATGGTCACTAATAGATACATAATTACTAGAAACAGTTGTTGTTGGTTCTTCTGATCATGCAATTAATTTCATAAAAGTGCATGAATAACTAATAAATAATTAAATAATTAAGAATCAATACAGCAAGCAATATTCCCTTAGACGTTATTCTGTTCTATTGGATTGACAAAGAGGAATAATAATAATAATAATAAAATGAATTTCAGTATGAGTAAATCATTCGATCCCCACTTTCATGTTGATATTACAGAGAATAAGTTATAGAAGTGAAGGACACATATTATTTCCTTAAACGGCAATCAACACAATGTGGTGCGGCTATTAATAATACAAGTGAAAAAGGGGGCAACAAAAAGCAAAATAGAAAATTATTAAGGGATAATAATGTAAAAAAAGTCATTCCAATTGACCATACTTCCAAATAATGATAAGGATGAAACATGAGGCTGACAATTGTTATTTACAGCGATTAGCAAGTATTAACGATCATGGTAAATATGTTTTATTTATATATAAATTGGTTCGAAGAAACCGTCTCGAGTCAATTCTGGGATACTTTTTTTGTTTGTTTGTTGGTTTGATGAAAAGGGCTTATTTCATAGAAAGAGCAATCATGAATGGGTGTTGTGTGATCTCTCCGTTTTTAGTAAATTCTAAACCACTTGAAGAAAAGTAACAAGTAGAATAGCAATTAGTGTAGATTCTAGTATATTCTTACTTAGAGAATGACAATAGCAATGGTATATGCAGATATATAATTCAACGGGGGGGAGAGAGAGAGAGAGAAGCCTTGCGCATGATTATGATGATTAAAAAATTCATCATCAACGACAAGATTGAATTTTTTTATTATTGTCTTTAGTTCTTGGCTTACTGACTTTTTAGTTTAAACTTCACTCGTTTGTACATAACCCTACATTCCTCGACCAAGAAGAAGAAGATGATAATGATAGTCAATTGAAAGTGGTCAGAAAATAATCTCCCACTGCCACTGTCACTGCCACTAATTGTGTTCAAAAAAAAAAAAAAAAAAAATATTTGAAAACTCTTATTTTGCTCTGATAGATAATTTTGTAAAAATATAACTTTCACTTTCTTTCTTTCTTTCCTTAATTTTGGAAAGTCCTTTTTTTTCAATTCAGTTTTCTTTTGGTTCTATTTTAATTGTTTTGGAAAGAAAACTCTCCAATTTGTTTTATATTTACAATTTGCTTTTTCTATTTAAAGTATCTACTTGATATTCCAGAACTATTCCTTGAGTTAATTGTCGTATTATTATTACACCCATAATGAGAGCATTAACAATTATCCCTATATTTTTCCTTTTGGGTTCAACATTGCTATTAATCCTTACAGTTATCAATGGTGCAGGAACATCTTCAATCTTGGGCCGTTTCTATTGGTCTCAAACCGATACTTCCGGCTTGACTGGGGTTCCTTTTTCAACTACAAGATGGACATTCTATAGACTTTGTGAAAATGTTAATAATAGAAATGCTAATTGTGAAAAATCAAAAGCTGGATTCCCTTATTCTCCAGAAGATAATTTTGGTAGAGATAGTGGTATTCCTGAAAATTTCATTAGTGATAGGGATACTTATTTCTATTTATCTCGTTGTGGTTGGGCATTCACTCTTGTTGCGTTGTTCTTCACAGTAGTTGCATTATTCTTCACTCCATTGAATATTTGTTTTAGTTTTGGTGGTATCCTTGGTGTGGTTTGTACAGCAATTGCTTTATTATTTGATATCACAGCAGCAAGTGTAATCACAGCCGCACATGTTAAAGGAAGACATCAATGGAATCGTGCTGGTTTCCATACAACTATAGGAGCAGCAGCTTTTGGTATTTTATGGGCATCTGTTGCTACTTTAATTATATCATTTGTTAGTTTGATTGTAGCCTTGGTATTTGCTCGTAGATCAAGAAGAAGACGTTTCAATAGTAATAATGGTGCTAATGGTGTACCTGAAAGTACCAATGGATATCCTAAAGAAACTAGTAGTTTTCAAAGAGGTGAATATGAACCTCGAGACCATGTTGGCGAACCAGGATCAGATGCTTCAAAGTTTAGATTCTTTAGAGTCAAAAGAGCTAAACCAGAAGATGTTTAATACAAGAGAACGAGAGAGATAATATATGAACAAATCTCGAGCATTATGTTTATACCCGTCCCCGACCCATTTTTTTGATTTTCTTTTAGTATTCGAATGAAGAATATGATGATAGTGATTTTTTTGTTTTGTTTTGTTTTGTTTTAAATTATTATTTATTTTCCACCTGAAAATTTTTTTAAAAAAGAAGTTTCAATTTAGTTTACTTTGGTTACTTGTCGTTGTTTCTTATCCCGTTTATTTTATTATATTCATTTGTTTTGTTTCATTAATCTTCACTGTTCATCATCATAATCTTTGTTTTCCTTTTTTTTTTTGGTTTATTTGTAGTATGTAAATATTACGTAATAATTAATTAATGCACACACACACTTTATTTGTCTTTGTAACCATTTTTGTGATTTTGTTTTGATTGCGAAAAAATAAGAAATCTGTTATGCGCAATAAAAACCGAACATTTAAGATACACCTATCTTTGTGGTTGCAAGTGGTTAGAACGAAGGCACATAATAATAGACCTAGATGATTGTTGCTCTAGAGGAATGGAAATAGTAAGAGTGATAGCTTTTGTAAATAGATATGTTTTGCAATATACAATTGTTCGTAAACTACAAATACTTGAAACATAACAAGATTTTGCAGTCAATTCTTTGTGCAATTTGATGACTTGTCAAAATATGACCTCAATGCTTATATGTCAAATAAATCATTCTATTTCTATAGTGTAATTTGTTATGCTAATTGAAACTGCAAAAAAATACCTGTGTCAAATAATAAAAACTACTATAAGCGTACTAACAAAAAAAAAGAATACTTCAAAACAAAACAAAACAAATCCTTTTTGAAGAACAATAATTACAAATAGAATCAAACACCAAAAATTTCCAGACCCATTTCATAATTATATACTTTTTTGAAAATTAAGAAGAAAAAAAAAGACCATATATCATAATAGGTTTATATTGTTACAAAAGTTTCCTAAGACCTTTTTTTCATATTGGTATATTCTGAAGGGGTTCTGAAATCTACATCTCCAAAAAAGAACAAACTTTTTCATTGAAGAAGAACTCAGTTTACAACATTTCATTGATTAATCATTGATTTTATAAGCAAATATATATAGTTTAAAAAATTGTTTTGTTCCTTGTTGATAATTTTGAAAGAAAAAGGATTTTGCATACTTGTTTTGCAGTATAAAGAATTAATCACGAAGGAAGAAGGAGAGGAAGTGTTGTTGATAATATTTTTCTTAACAATATGGTTCCTCAACAATCAGTAATGACATTTCCAATTGATAATTTATTGGATATTTCATTTCCTGAAGAATTATTCCCCCAAATGAATTTAAGTCGTTCAATATTGGAAATTCCATTTGATTTAGTTGAAAATGAACTTCGAAGACCAAATGATCATGATACTTCAAATAATATGTCAATTGATTCACAAGCACTTCAAGATGAAATTTTACATATTTTGCACGAATATTCAGATGATTCTGTTGGTTCGGTATCAAATTTAATGGGAGATTTTGAAAATACAAATAATATAATTGCACAAATGGAAAACAATAATGAAACCATTTATCCAAAGTCATATATGAATGGATATATAAAATTTGTAATGGAATCTACCAATTCACTTTTGGAACCAATAGAAGGTGCTGTTCAGTATAACAGCAACAATAATAACAACAACAATAATAATAATAATAATAACCAACATGAAAGAGAATTAACTCATGAAGAAGTTCTTGAGATTTTTGAAGCAACTTGTAAAGAAATTGATGAATGGAAATCATTGTCTGATATACCAATACTTAAAGAACAACAAACAGAATCAATTACTGAAGAACAAATTCAACAAGCACTACCATCACAAGAACAGAATATTCTTTCCAATAATGTCTTGGAAACTATTCCACAACTGCAAAGTCTTGATCCATATTTCCATTCTTCTAAAACTCAAATACCATATTTAATTAATAAAAGATCATCATCAGTGGATTCAAATAAATCTGAAAATCAACTGCAATTATCATTAAGTTTACCCATTAATTCAGTGTCCAATTTAAACTCAAACAATAATCTGTTATCTAAATCTAATACAAATACAAATTCTACTTCAAACTCACCAGCTGATGGTACTAAATCACCACGGAAGAGAAAATTAGATAATAGAACATTTTATAAAAATTCTCAATTGAATTTTTCATTATTGGATATTGTATCAAGACCAGATTATGAATATTCATCTCAATTATCTAACCAATCTTCAAATATTCCTAATGCATATCAATGTATGATTTTAAATGAAAAATTAATTTCACCAATTAATTGTTCAATAACATGTCGTGTTCAAAGAACTTTATATATTAGAGATTGTTTAGATGAATTACCAAAGAAACATTTTAATGGAGAATATGAAATTACACCAAATCCGAATTTTAAAAAAACTTCATATGAAGCACAATATATTTTAACTAAATTGGATAAATCTGGTAAACCAGATAATACAACAAGAGCAGGATTATGTCCTTATTGTGAAAAGATTGAATTTTTTGGTTTAAAAAATTCTTCATATGGTAATCATTTAGCTTATAAACATGGAATTTTAACTAATGGAAATTCAGTACCCGATCCAAAATTTTATGGTAGATATAAATTTAAAAAAGGTGAATATGATGAACCCGAAAAGAAGAAACGTAAAACAAATGCTCATATTTTAGAAAGAGAAGGGGTGTTATGTACTTGTTGTTGGCAAATTCTTGAAGTTAATTGTACTTCAAGAAGTTCTGTTTTAGGTCATTATCTTCGTCATTATAGGGATTCTCATGTTGGTAATAAAAAGGAAATTAATAAAAATGAAACTGATGATCCTTTATCTACTTTTGATCCCGTTGTTTTTGAATTCATAAACAAATGGAGATAGTTAGATTTACTACCGTTCTAACAATTTTGCAGAGGTTAATTAGTGGAATTTCTATTTCGTTGTGTTTTTGTTGTTTTTGTTTTGCTTTTCTTTGATGATCTTGTTTCTGCTATTTAATTTCACCATTTTTTATTTCATTTTTATCAGTTAGAGTTTTATTTTTTATTATTGTTATTACTAACATTTCAAGAGATAATATACAACGAATTCTGGTCATTACTAAATTTAGCTAACTTGAACAATTAATATTTGTATCTTTAGATCTATTTACTTATACTATACTTAGTTCTTAGCGGCATCTTCCTTCAAACTGACGATTCTGTTGATGATCAAAGAATCATCTTTAGAATCTTTATCCAAACAGAAATAACCTTCTCTCAAAGCTTGGAATCTGACGGTATTGTTTCCTGCATTTTCTTTAATGTTGAATTCACTGTTTGGAATTTCAACATTCATTGGAGATTTAGTAATGATTTCCTTGATATTTTCTTCAATAACAGCGTTAGATAAAACTTCTTCACTATCTGGATTAATATCCTTCAAGTAACCATCTGGATGAGCTGATGGGTTTTCACTATTAAACAATTGGTTGTAGATTCTAACTTCCTTAACAGGAACAGCAGATTTCTTAGGAACCCAGTGGATATATGTTCTTGGTTTGGCTTTAATACCTTCATCATAGTTAACATGAACAATCTTTTTACCATCTTTTTCTTCAATGGATTTGTAACTAATGTTGAATGGAACTTTAATTAAACCAACCGGTTGGCCAGGAGCCAATCTGTAAAATTCTTTGTCAGCTGGTTCATCACGAACATCACTAGCATCAATGTAGAAATGTTTGGAAAAGGTCAATTTACGAGAACCCATTAATTTTTCATCTTTACCTGGTTGGAATGGGATTTCAACATCCAAACTGAAATCTTCATCAACATTATCAATGACAACTTCGACAGGGTTTAATACCATCAATAATCTAGGAGTGGTTTGGTCAAGATAGTTACGAACTGCGCTTTCAAATCTGACAGATTGAATGTTTGTAGTAGCAGTAGTGACACCTAAAGTATTGATGAATGACAAAATAGCACCTGGTGGAACACCTCTTCTTTTGATACCTTCCAAAGTGTACAATCTTGGATCATCCCATCCTCTAACATATCCTTCATTAACCAATTTGGCAATCTTTCTCTTGGACATAATAGTACCAGTCAAGTTCAATCTACCATATTCACGTTGTGCTGGTCTATAAACATGTAAAGCATCACACAACCATTCATAAGATTCTCTGGACAAAACAAATTCAGTGGTACATAAAGAATGAGTGATGTTTTCAAAAGAATCAACCAAACAATGAGTGAAATCATAAGTTGGATAAATCTTCCATTTGTCACCAGTACGGTGATGTGGAGTATTCAAAACACGGTAAGCAACCAAATCCCACATTTGTGGAGATGGAGATTCTAAATCTTGTTTCATTCTTAAAGTGGCTTCTCCAACAGCATATTTACCATCCTTCATGGCTTCAAATTCACGCAAGTTATGTTCAATTGATTGTGATCTGTGTTTACAAGCAACTCTGTCACCACCCAAGGTACCGTCTTCTTTCAACCCACGAGAAACCTTGACTTCTTCTGGAGTACAGTGACAAATATAGGCTCTGTCGGCTTTGATTAATTGAATAGCCAATTCATACAATTGATCAAAGTAATCAGAAGAATAAGTAATCTTCCAAGGTTTGTAACCTAACCAGGAAACCATTTCTTTAATAGAATTAAAGTAAACTTCTTCTTCAGCTTCTGGGTTGGTATCATCAAATCTCAAGTAACATTTACCACCATTATATTGAGCATATCCAAAGTTAACCATGATAGCTTTTGAGTGTCCAATGTGCAAGAAACCATTTGGTTCTGGTGGGAAACGAGTAAGAACTTTACCATTGATGAACTTTCTGTGTTCTTCCAATAATTCAGGGTACTTTTGTGGTTCTTCACCTGGTTTATGCAATGCCCCAAGGAAACCTTCAGCAAACATTGATTTTTCTGGTTCATCAAAGATATTCTTTTTGGCAGCTGCATTAGAAGTGGCTTTGGCGGCTGTTTTTGGTTTCTTTTCCTTCTTTTTCATGTTGTCTCTTTCATCCTTTGGTCCTAATCTGGCTAAAAATTCTTCATCCAAAATTGGTTTAAAGATTTGTGGTGGAGCCCATTTCAATGTTGGTTGATTCTTAAGTTCAACCAAAACTTTGGCTAAGATTGAGTATCTCTTGGTTTCCAAGTCAGATTTGATAGAGTCAAGATATTTAGCAATTTCAGCTTTAGCTTCTTCAGTGGTAATTTCAATACCAACACCAGTGGCTTCGTTGAATTTTTCCTTATCAATAGGAGCTTCATTGTTTTGTAAATATTTGATACCTTCAGTAACTTGTAAAGTAGTTTTCAAGTCACCTTTACGAATACTGTCAATAATAATGTCATGGTTTGGAACAACACCATTTTTACTTTCGTGAATGGCTAATTGATGTAATAATGCCAATTTTTTGTCATCATTGCCTTCAGTATTCTTATCTAAGATATTGTATAATGACAGGGCAACTTTCTTATTTTTAACAATTTCTTTTGCTTTCTTGTCTTCAAATCCAGCTTTGCTGAATAATGAGACTAATTCATCTTCTGAAATAACAGCGTTAGATGACATGATAAATGCAATCTGAGGTGTATATCAATAATCAATACAAATGTGATAGAATTGATCATGAAAAATTTTCTCATGATGATTTTTTTTTGTTTCTATGCCGCGCGTTTCTCATTTCCCACATTCTTCAATGCCGAACAGATGACTATATGGCACTCTGGTAGGGATCTACATTGATATCTACCCATTACTCAGAGATAAGCAAAAAAGGATAAACTTTATTGCAAATGCATTTATTCGTCTATTTTTTTTTTTGAGTCACTACTTATTCTTCTAACCATGGTCTTGTTTCCCACCATGAATTGTCATTTATTATATCAACATGATATTCCTTAACCTGTGCCTTCTTTCTTTTCTTTTCTAATCTTTGCTTTTGTCGTGATGATAATCCAGTTTCAATTTGTACTTCATAGTTTTCAAATTCTCTTACAAAAATAGTTCCTTTTTTAAATATTTCCAATTCGTTATTATAGTTTATACCACATTCTTTGAATAAAATTTCATTTTTATCTGAAGAAACGGTACCCATTAGTTTCTGTTCTGCTTCTTGTGGTGTCATGTTTAATTTTAATACTAGACTCCAAAACGAAGTGTTGTATAAATTATTAATATGACAATCAACCTGTCTCCAACTAAAATAATCTCGAATATGTTTGAAACTAGGATACAACACTGCTCGTGCATCAAATGTTGGTAAATGATCTATAACCAATGGTTTGTCTGGAAATATTTGTTGCCAGAAATGCATATAAAATGTAGACATCAATGATGCAAATAAAGTAGTAAGTTTCATCTCTCTTCTTTCATATAAATCACAATTCTTGCGCAATAAAAATGAATATTCATCAGAATCTCCATATGCTAGCATTATATCACTATACTTTTGCATAATCTTCTCAGCAGCTTTATTCATAACTTGAAGTGCTTTCAAATCATTGGGTTTCTCAAATTGATAAAACTGAGAAAACTTGTGAAATCCCTTCCCATCAACACGGATTATTATGTATGTGTCTGGTAATAAGTAATTCTCTTTCTCAAACAATTTAACATATTCATATTTGGAATTGGCCATTGTTGACTATTCTATCCAGTAAAACTAAAGTATGCTTAACCACCAGGAAATCGATTCGTCTCCCATTGATTGATCTAATTGTTTTGGAAATTTTTTTTTTTTTTGGGAAAGTTGCACTACCCGCAGGAGAATCTCATCTCTCACACAAAATTTTTATTTTCACTTTTTTCCTTTATATTCCTTTTCTTTTTCCTTTCACGATTCGGAAACAACTTTATATCAATTTCATTTTTTGTTTGAATATCATTCTGACGATGACTTTAGCTCAATATAGAACGTTAGAAACTGATAAAAGATTCAAAAATCCCCCAAAGGATGATTCCTCTTATCCATTGTTGAAGGATGCTGTTGCACCACATGTTGGTTCATTCAACGCATTGATGGATGGTCCTGAAGGAGGTTTATTAAACCTTGCCGTCAAAGATATTGGATCCAAGACTATATTTGATACACCAGAAACTTCTACTCGTCTAGGAAACAAGTTGAAGATCAGAGTAGATTCTGTACAATTAGCCAAACCAAGTGTTCCAGCCAACGATAAATTATCATTGAATAGAAAAACTTTTCCAAGTGAATGTAGAGAAAGAATGGTCACTTATAGATCAAGATTAATGTTGAATGTTACTTGGAGTGTAAATGATGGTGAAGAAGTCCTGGAAGTTAGAGAAGCAGGTCAAATCCCAATCATGTTGAAATCTAACAGATGTCATTTGGAAAAATTAACACCAAACCAATTGGTTGAAGCAAAAGAAGAAAGTGATGAATTGGGTGGTTATTTCATTGTTAATGGTATTGAAAAATTGATTCGTATGTTGATTGTTCAAAGACGTAATCATCCAATGGCTCTTATACGTCCATCTTTTGGTAATCGTGGAGCCTCTTATACCAAATACGGTATCCAAATTAGATGTGTTAGACCAGATCAAACTTCCCAAACTAATGTTTTGCATTATTTGAATGATGGTAACGTCACATTTAGATTCTCATGGAGAAAGAATGAATATTTGGTTCCAGTTACTATGATCTTGAAGGCTTTAGTTGAAACTAATGATCGTGAAATTTTCGATGGAATTGTTGGTAATGACACAGGCAACTCTTTCTTGACTGATCGTTTGGAATTGTTGTTGAGAACTTACAAGAAGTACAACTTGAACTCTCAACAAGAAACCTTGGCTTACTTGGGTGATAAATTTAGAGTTGTCTTTGGTGCTACTCCAGATATGTCTGATATTGACGTTGGTAAAGAAGTCTTGAAGAGAATTGTCTTAGTCCATTTACCTGATAACACTGATAAATTCAGAATGTTGTTATTCATGATTAGAAAATTATACTCCTTGGTTGCCGGGGATTGTGCTCCAGATAATCCAGATGCTACCCAACATCAAGAAGTCTTATTGGGAGGTTTCCTTTATGGTATGATCATTAAAGAAAAAATTGAAGAATACTTGCAAAACATCAAATTGCAAATCCAATCCGATATCAACCGTGGTGTTGGTATTAATTTTGATGACAGAAAATACATGACCAGAGTGTTCCTGAGAATTAATGAAAACATTGGTCAAAAATTGCAATATTTCTTGAGTACTGGTAATTTGGTTTCTCAATCTGGTTTGGATTTACAACAAGTTTCCGGTTATACTGTCGTTGCTGAAAAGATTAATTTCTACCGTTTCATTTCCCATTTCAGAATGGTCCATCGTGGTTCTTTCTTTGCTGAATTGAAAACCACCACCGTTAGAAAATTGTTGCCAGAATCATGGGGTTTCCTCTGTCCTGTCCATACTCCCGATGGTTCTCCATGTGGTTTATTGAACCATTTGGCACATAAATGTAAGATTGCTACTGTTGCATCTGATGTTTCCCAAGTTCCTAAAGCTTTAACCCAATTGGGTGTCTTACCAGCCGATTCATTTGCTGCTGGTCCAGATTTATGTTGTGTTCAATTGGATGGTAAAATTGTTGGTTGGACTACTCACAAACAAGGTAAAATTGTTGCTGATACCTTGAGATTCTGGAAAGTTGAAGGTTCCCATGGCTTGCCATTAGATTTGGAAATTGGTTATGTTCCACCTTCTAACAAGGGTCAATACCCAGGTTTGTATTTATTCGGTGGTCATTCAAGAATGATGAGACCAGTCAAATACTTGCCATTGGACAAACAAGATATACTTGGTCCATTTGAACAGGTTTACATGAATGTTGCTGTTACTCCAGAAGAAATCGAAAACAATGTTCATAGTCATGTTGAATTCTCTCCAACTAATATTTTGTCTATCTTGGCCAACTTGACTCCATTTTCTGATTTCAATCAATCCCCAAGAAATATGTATCAATGTCAAATGGGTAAGCAAACTATGGGTACTCCAGGTACTGCTTTAGTTCATAGATCAGATAACAAATTGTACCGTTTACAAACTGGTCAAACTCCTATTGTCAAAGCCAACTTGTACGATGACTATGGAATGGATAACTTTCCTAACGGTATGAATGCTATTGTTGCCGTTATTTCTTATACCGGTTATGATATGGATGATGCGATGATTATTAACAAATCTGCTGATGAAAGAGGTTTTGGTTATGGTACTGTTTACAAGACTGAAAAGATTGACTTGTCACAATCAAGAAGAAGAGGTGATCCAATAACACAACATTTCGGATTTGGTACCGATGAATGGCCAGAAGCATGGAAAGAAAAATTGGATGCTGATGGTTTACCAATGATTGGTGTCAAAGTTGAAGCTGGTGATCCAATTGTTGCTTATTATGACGATACTTTAGGTAAAACTAAAGTAAAGACTTATCATTCATCTGAACCTGGTTACATTGAAGAAGTCAAATTGTTGGGTGATGAAACCAGTGATCAAGAAGGTCAACAATTAACCATTAAATATAGAATTACCAGAGCTCCGTTGATTGGTGATAAATTCTCTTCTAGACATGGTCAAAAGGGTGTTTGTTCTAGAAAATGGCCACAAATTGATATGCCATTTACTGAATCAGGTATGCAACCTGATGTTATTATTAATCCACATGCGTTCCCATCTCGTATGACCATTGGTATGTTTGTTGAATCTCTTGCTGGTAAAGCTGGTGCATTACATGGTATTGCTCAAGATTCAACACCATGGAAATTTAATGAACAAGATACTCCCGCTGATTATTTCGGTGAACAATTGTTGAAAGCCGGTTACAATTATCATGGTAATGAACCAATGTATTCTGGTGCTACTGGTGAAGAATTGCGTTGTGATATTTACATTGGTTGTGTCTATTATCAAAGATTGAGACATATGGTTAACGATAAGTTCCAAGTCAGATCCACAGGTCCAGTTAATTCATTGACAATGCAACCTGTTAAAGGTAGAAAGAGATCTGGTGGTATTCGTGTTGGTGAGATGGAAAGAGATGCATTGATTGGTCATGGTACATCATTCTTATTACAAGATAGATTATTAAATTGTTCTGATTACACACAAACACCAGTTTGTCGCTCCTGTGGATCCATTTTAACTACTCAAACCACTGTTCCAAGAATTGGAAGTATGGCTACTATTAGATGTAGAAGATGTGCTGTAAGCTTGGATAAATATGATGGATATGCTGCTGATGCTGATATTTGGGAAGATGGACAAGGTAAAAAATTCGTTGGTGGTGATGACACTACTGCTGTTGCAATTCCATTCGTATTGAAATATTTGGACAGTGAATTATCAGCCATGGGTATAAAGATGAAATACAATGTTGAACCAAGATAAGAAATTAAACAAAAAAAAAAAAGTGTAATATAGATCTAGAAAAAAAAATACAAATACTTGAAAATGAATAATATATATATATATAAAGTTAACTCTTGATGTAAGGAAAACATCATTTTGTAATTATCACTACATTTGTAGGGTTTGAATTTTCTATAATATATTTAGCGTTAATCATATCATTACCATCTGTTCTTTCAATAGCTTCTTTTTCATTAGATGAAATACCAGCTTCTAAATGTCGTTTAATTATTCTTTGACGAATTAATGATTCAGGAGTTTGAATAAACCATGAATCATCAATGAAATTTCTAATTTTATTCCATTCATTATCTTTAAGAGAAACATAATTTCCTTCAATAATAATAATATCAACAGTATTATCAATTATAATATCGTCTTCTTTTGGATCTTTTAATTTATGATCAAATGATGGAGCTTTAAGTGTAATTGAATGATCAGATAATTGTGATATTAATTTAACAAATGCTTTAGGATTAAAAGTAAATGGAGCACCACGTCTTTTAAAAGCTTCTTCAGAATTAGGTAATTTTTGTAATTCTGATCTATATAAATGAAATCCATCTTGAGGTAATACTATAACATTGGCAAATTTAGATATTTCTTTACTTATTATATTAGCAAATGTAGTTTTTCCTGATCCTGGAGCACCTGCAATAGAAATTAAATATCTTTCATTTGGATGAGTTTTTCTTTTAAGTTCATAATTTGATTTCACTCGATTGGATAATTCTGTAATATCTGTAGTATAGAAAGTATCTTGTTGTGTCATTGGCGGGGTGATTGATGTTGACCATTTGAAATCAAGAACTTGTCGGCCGAAGAATGGACAAAAACAAAAAAAAATTTGTTGAATTCCTGTGTAGCCGATACCGCGGGTTGGAAAAGCGTTTGATGTTGGACTGAGTTTTCGTCATGACATACTGTACAACCCTAGTATAAAGAATTGCCTATAGCGTATGATAAACGATCTTTGGTATTTACCAGTAACTATATATTTGGGAAATACCATGATTTATATTGACTTTTAGGCATAATTTGGGATATCGAATAATTTTTTAGTTTTATTTTGCACCCAATTTAGAACAAAAAATGACGGATATTATTTGAACTTGATGTGAACACAATGGAGTCATTTCTATTCATATACGTCATTTAGGTATATACCATGACTAATTTATCTCCAGTAGTGGGTTCTTTTAATTATTGTATCCTCAATTTAAAGAGTATGTAAATATATCATAGTCGTGTAAATTGCCCATGGATCTCGCAGTTAATTATCACGCTTTTAATATTTCTTGCTGTTTTTTTTCTCAACCAATTATATAGTTAGAATTACATAGCAATCCAATGACACAACAATTCAACAGTATAGATAGAGAAGAAGAAGAAGAAGAACTTTCAAGAGTAACTCCAATTCCATTAGAATCATTAGATGATCTAGATACAACGTCAGATAGTTATTCGACTACTAGTAGTAATAATAATAATAATAATACAACGAAAAAGAAATCATGGATTATACCAACTTTATATAAATTTCAAAAATATAGTGCATATTCATTTGTTTCATTTTTAGGAATTCATGTTTCTTCAGTTATTATAGTACCTATATTACCAATTGATCAAGGGATTAAAGATGAAGTATTTTCTATGGCTAAGGCTATTTATCAATCTATTCCATTATATGAATCAATATGTATATTTGGATCAGTTTCTATTCATTTATTATCAGGAATTGGAATTAGAATATATAGGAAATTAATAATTAATAATAATAAGAAAATTAAAAGAGATATGAACAAAAATTCTAAAGAAAGATTTGAATTGAATAAAATTAAAGATGATGATGATGATATTGGATTTGGAGGATTATCTAATTTATTTGGACTTGGATATAAAAAATCGTTTACTGTTAAATATTTTAAATTAACTCCTTTACAATTTTCAGGATATTTATTAATTCCATTTTTATTATTTCATGGTTATAAATTTAGATTTATTCCATGGGAAATCGAAGGTGATAGTTCATTAATTAATTTAGAATATATTTCATATGTATTAAATTTGAAACATCCTTTATGGAACACATTTGCTTTATGTTCTTTAATTTGGATAATGGCTTATCATTCAACTAATGGTTTATTGAAGCTACAAAATAAATATTCTAAGAATTGGAAGAAAATCGGTTTATCTATTGTTAATGGTATGGGATTCTTAGGAATGTTTGCTGTTTATTTATTTAAAAATAATAAAACTGTTATTGATATAAATGGATTTTTAGGTAAATCATTTGCCAAATATCTTCATTCATTCTGGGTGTAAATATATACAGTCAATATACATGATTATGATACTTGATTTGACTATGCATTTTTGCAGTCTTATTTGTATATTAAAACATATGTTAATTACCCGACATATACCTGCATACAATACCACTTATTGAAAAAATTTTGTGCATCTGGTCGTGTGCTGAATCAAACTGAAAATTTTTTTTTTCTTCTTTAGTTTCTCATGCCATACCCATAGTAATAAAATTCCATCCTTACTTATATTCTTTTTTTTTTTTTTTTTTCTTCTTTCCTCTTCACCATCATTAATAACAACAAAGATGCCTTTCCAAAAAGTCTTGAAGACCTCTGCTTACCACTCCCGTTTCCAAACTCCTTTCCGTAGAAGACAAGAAGGTAAAACCGACTACTACCAAAGAAAGAGATTAGTCACTCAACACAAGGCTAAATACAACACTCCAAAATACAGATTGGTTGTTAGATTCACCAACAAAGACATTATTGCTCAAATTGTCTCTGCTCAAATCACTGGTGATGTTGTTTTCACTGCTGCTTATGCCCATGAATTGCCAAGATACGGTATTAAGCACGGTTTGACTAACTGGTCTGCTGCTTATGCTGTTGGTTTATTGGTTGCCAGAAGAGCTTTGCAAAAATTAGGTTTGGATGAAACTTATACTGGTGTTGAAGAAGTTGAAGGTGAATTTGAATTGACTGAAGCTGTTGAAGATGGTCCAAGACCATTCAAGGTTTTCTTGGATATTGGTTTACAAAGAACTACCACTGGTGCTAGAGTTTTCGGTGTTTTGAAAGGTGCTTCCGATGGTGGTTTGTACGTTCCACATTCTCCAAACAGATTCCCAGGTTGGGATATTGAAGCTGAAGAATTGGATGCTGAATTATTGAGAAAATACATCTTCGGTGGTCACGTTGCTGAATACATGGAAGAATTATTGGATGATGATGAAGAAAAATTCAAATCTATCTTCAAAGGTTACTTGGATGATGAAATTGATTCCGAAGATATTGAAGAAATCTACGCCAATGCTCATGAAGCTATCAGAGCTGACCCATCTTTCAAACCAACTGAAAAGAAATTCACTAAAGAACAATACAAGGCTGAATCTAAGAAATACAGACAAACTAAATTGACTAGAGAAGAAAGAAAAGCTAAGATTGCTGAAAGAATTGCTGAATTCAAAGCTGCTCAAGAATAAGTAGGTTAGTTTTTATTAATTAAATCGATTTCTATTTAATTTACAAAACAAATATAATACTTATTTTTTAATATCCATTTTTATTGTTAAATGTTTCTTTTTTTTTATTTATTTATTTATTTACTCTATTATAAAACTATATATCTTTATTCAGTCTAACTTTTTCTGCAGCATTTAATAACTTATCATAGACTTCATTGACAACTGGATCAACAGTTCTTGGATGTTCATGAGAATCAATAGAATCAGTATCAGATATTTCAACTTCTTCTATAGCTGTAGCATGATCTTGTTTGATAGCATGGTTTTGTTCTTCTTTTGATGGTTTTTGTTGTTGTTGCTTCTGCTGCTGTTGTTCATGATGCTTGACACCATCAATTTTAACACAATGATTGTTAATTCTATCAATTAATTCATTAACATTATCCACACCTTTAGCAGCCATAATAGCATCTCTTAATTCTGCTCCTGATGGCAAGGTATTTAAAATTGGAATATCATCATTTGGCTTTTCGGTATTTTGTTGCTGTAAATAGAATCCAAATTTATGGAATTCACCTTCTTCAATTTCTTGTTCTTTAGCATGAACTGAAGTTGAACTTAAAGAATGCATTAAAACAGGACGCCCGGTCAAATTATCAATAGGGATATTTTTACCATTAGCAGAATCAATAACAACTTGATGTGGAGTTAAGTGGTTATCCTCCTGATCCTTTGGCATTGGTAAGAAATATGAACTTTGTTCTCCTTCTCTATTTACATGAGGAGATAAAATAGGACCAGCAGTGATTAATTCATTGGCATTTTCATGAATATTAATAGTAGGATGCATCAATGGAGCTGATAAACTTGTGTTGGTCTTATCTGGAGTGGAACCAGTACCTATAACTCCACTAGAATCATTCGTAGTGTTTGTAGATTGAGATGGAGTAATTAAAGTCTTTGCATGTTCTTCATACATATGAACCAACTTTTCCAATGTTGAATCTAATAAACAAAATCTGACCAAATTTTCTTTACCTTCAAATGATAATGTACCTTGATTTCTTTGTTCAAATAAAGTATTAATAGTCTTGTGAATATCTTTTCTAATAGCTTTTGTTCTTTCAAAAATAGTTTCTGAAATAAGCTTTTGCATCTTGATTTCATCTTTACCACCTTTATCGGTTTCACGGAACATTTTCTCAGCTGTTTCCATCAACAATGATCCATCAAACATCAAATCTTCTGGTTTATCAGTGGTGTTTTCAAGTGGATATTCAGGTTTTAAAGATCTGTCCATATTTCTCATCAAATAAAATGCAATACGTTGTGATAACTCGTCGGAAATCAAATCATAATCTATATCCAATGCAAACAAAGTATGTGAGTGTTTAACTGCTGAATATAACGCAGCTGCCGAGGTATTAGTCAAGTTTGGATTTCCCAACAATGATACATGAACCAAATGTGGGACTTTAACCAACACTGCGGCAATCAAACCAATTGCCTTTTCAGACAACTCATTAAGATCAAAATGGATTCTCTTCAAATTGGAATATAACGGCAAGAATTTAGCTAAACTGGAAATAATTGCTGGGAAAACTTGTGGAATTGCACTTAAATCCAAAAATCTTAAAGTCTTGACATTGACCATGGCTTGGATCAATTCCGAAGTTTCTTCAACATTCAGTAAACTGGTAGAGTTTAAACTGAAAAATACCAAATGGGAAACACCTTTGTTGAATGCATTAATGAATGGTTGCAATTGACCTTGACTTAAATCATTAAATGCAACATCGACACCAACACATTGTGAATTTGGATCCGTCAACCAATCAGCAACAATTTGTGCCTTGTTTACGCTTAATTCCACACCAGCAATACCCAATCTATAAGTGGTTATCTTAACTGCCTTGTTGATTAATTTTTCAAACACTTCATCGGATAATTTACATCCATTGATGACCAACTCTTCAATACCACCACGTAAAATCAATGATTGAATAAACAATTCCCAATTCATGTTACCACGGATTGAAGTCTCTGGTGTATCTTGCTTGATTCTTTGTTGAGAAATATCCAACTTCTTGATGGTTTTATTCTTGGCCAAAAATTTACATAAATATTTCCATCCCATTTCGTCAATGGCAACATTACGTAAAGATAATTTCTCCAATTGCTTGTTATAAATCAAAGACCCCAAGAAATTCTTCAACATTTCAGTTGTCATTGTAACATTGTCGAAAATAACAGTATTGATAGGGGTGATGGCAATAAAATCACTAAATGATAAAACATCAATCAATGTAGGTTTTGGATTCAACATTTTCAAAACTTCCAAAGGGGCTGTTTTATTCTTAAGTTGTCTGAGAGTAGCTGGAATTGGTAAAATTTCTCTTAAATGACAACATCTAGTATAGATGGTTTCCAAAGAAACAGTACCACCTTCAGTATGAATTTCATCTTCAAAATGTTGTTCATGGACATGCAAAGGACCATCGACTGAAACATCGTTGGCCACGTGTTCATCCACGGCAGTGTCCTTTTCATCATCTTCTTCATCTTCATTTCCTCCCGATCCACCTTCTTTGATTGATCCAATATTTTGATTTTTAAAGGTGGCAACTTCTAAAGCAATTTTCTTGGCCTGTTTATGAGCTTCTTGTGCATGTTTTTCAGCTTCAATCAATGCTTTACGTTGGGCTTCTTCAGCCAAGGCTATTTCTTTATCTGAGTATTGAGATTCCTTAGCATGATTAGTTGGTTGATTATCTTTGTTTTCAACAGAAATACCAAGGTTCAATCTAGGAACAGGAGCATTTATATCTTGAGGAATCAAAACATTACCACGTTTAGGTTTTCTTGCTGGAATTTGCTGTTGTGGATCATGTTCAAGTTTATCAACAGAAAATGCCACACGACGTAATTTAAGGTCTCGTAAATCTTCAATAGTGACTTTTTCACGATTCGGGTTTTTATTTAAAACAACTCTTGGGGTGGTTGTATTGGCGGCAACCACAGATGATCCACGTCTTTTAAAGAATCTTAAACCAGTACCTTCAGATGGCGAACTACTAGGTGATCCATGTTGTTGATGTGGAAAGTGAGGGAGATGTGGGTGGTGATGGTGATGATGATTAGTGTTTTCATCATGGAATGATTCCTTAAATATCGGACTGCCACCATTGGAAGATGATTTTGTATTCAGTGTCTTACGTTTAATAGGAATACCCATTCCAGCAGGAGCTGTTTTTGTCAGTGAGATCAAGTCCTCTTGTTCTTTTTGAGATTTAGTAACGGAACCAACGAATGCAGGGTTAGCATGATGATGATTATCTGTGGTAGGTTGTTGTTGTTGTGGTGGTGGTTGCTGTGATTGAGGAGCTGGTGTTGCCGGGCTGGAATTAGTAGGGGTTGTCTTTGATGACAGGGATCTAAATTTAGATGACAATGAACTAAATAAACCTTTTTTACTGTTTGAACGTGAAACACCGGGTGAGGTAGATGCCGAAGAATTGGTATTATTGGAAGTGCTAGTACTTTGTGATTTCAATACAGATGCTTCTGGGTCATCGTAAGCTAAATCACTAGTTAATGATGGGGGAACAAAATTAATACTTTCTCTTCTTTTTTTAACAGGCTTGGCTTCTGTAGTATTAGTTGGTGTAGTAGTGGCATTTGATGTAGCAATTTGGGCTACTGAAGCAGATGCAGATCGTGAACGACCAATTCTTAATTTACTTAACTTTGAAACTTTTTCTGGTTGTTTCTGAGTGGAAGTAATAGGACTCGATGGTTGTGGTTGTTGTTGCTGTTGTTGTTTTTGGGCTACCGGGGTTGTAGGTTTTGATTTATGTTCTGCTAGTGGTGCAGTTGCAGTTGTCGTTGATTTCTGCTGGTCACCAGTCGCAACCAGCGATGTTTCTTGGGTAGTTTTCAAACTAGTATCAACTTCAATTTTTGGTTTTTCAACTGATGGTTTGTCATTTGTAGAAGGTTGAGATTGTTTAACATCTGACTTAGTAGTGGTATTAGTAGTAGTATTAGTTGAAGAATCTTTTTTTGGTTTATGATCACCTTTATCATCTTTTTGATTGGTTGACATTTTCTTTACCAATTTTTTTGATTTTCCTCTAAATAACCAATCGACATCACCATTAGATACACCGGTTATGATATCTTCTGATTCAGGAGGGATTACTTGATGTGGGTTTGTTGGTTTATCTACCCCACTTGAAGCCTTGGGAATAGGAGTAGATGTATCATTTTGTTGACTAGACATGATACTCTTTTTAAAATAACTATAACTATTTTCAAACTTTGTGGCCAAAAGGGAGATGAGAACAATGAAGGATGGGCCCTAAGTGTAGTTTAATTATCTGTGAATTCGTCAATTGATATGTGATGTAATGAAACGAAGAATTGTGGTTGATTTATATAGAAGGAACTAAAAAAAAAAACAGATAACCGAAGAGATTAAAATAAATAAGTGAAATAAATAAAAAAAAATTGTGATACAGAATATCGTAATGGAATTAATGAAATGAGTGTAAAGTACAGTCTAAATAAATTTTTGATCGTTCAATTGTTTTTTTTTTTAGAATCTAGAAACTGACCCAAATTGAACGGGAAGACTAAATGGGAATACAAATAGAATGATTGTTTGATATTTACGAAATGGTTCTGTTTTTGCCATTTGAAGTTGTCACCAGTTTTAGCAATGAGGTGGGTATTATTATTATTATGATTACGTTTCTTTTCTCTCTGTGTGTGTCTCTCTGTCTCTCTTTCGTCCCCCTGCCGTGGAAAAAGGAAAAAGAATTTAGTTAGCCGTTGGAGAATAGGGGATAGGGGTTGGCGGTGGTGCTGGCGGTGGCGGTGGTGGTGGGAGAGTACCCACACGAGACAAACAGACGGACAGCCCGTGACGGAAGAGAGAAGAATAAATTCTCGCACGGCAACTCGGTCCAAGAAATGGATAATGATGATGAAGATGAAGATGATTTGAAATATATTAAAAAAATGGCTCAGATTTCCATACATTTTGTGGTATATCTTTTTTTTTAAACTTAGTAAAATTCCACATCTATGACATAATGAATTGGTGAATTAATGAATGGTTGGTTGTGTATTTGAATTGCTACAAATATTACTCGACAATTTGAATAATTAGTACAAAACTTTAAGAGAAGAAAAAAGGACCAGACAGTTTATTTTAGTCTCCTCAATCTTATTCTTTGCTTTTTATTATCCATCGCTCTTGTTCAAGACGTGGGGAGAAGGTGAAGGAGAAGGAGACGGAGATGGTGTATTTGAAACAATAGTCCTCCATCTCAATAAACTTTATTCTTTATTTTTGCCTTCCTTATCCAACCTCCTCCTCCTCTTCCTCCTCCTTCTCCTCTATTGTACCCATATGCACATGAAGAATTCATTAATATTAGACAAGATAATCATTATTAATACTGTATACCCTTTCCTCGTGAGGTTTCACGTGATTCATTAAGGAATTCTACCCTGACAGTGACAGGACATTGCTCTGCTAATTAATCATAGTTATTCCCTATTCCCTATTCCCTCTTCTTCTTCTTCTTCTTTCTCTATTGGTGTGGCATATTGTATGTATGAATGGTGACGTAAGATCAAATGAATCATCCTCGCTTCATCTTGGTGACTGTGGGTGCGTGCACGTGTGCTCAAAATTCGGCTCCGACTCCGCAAACGAACAAACAAACAAGAAATAAATAAATAAAAGAGGGGTATATTTCCCGTGACTGGAATAAACCCGCACGGCACCCACACACCAATACATTACATGAGTAAAACGCACTTTGATTTTTGAGATAATCACACATTTCTGTTTATATTGTTAGTCGTGTGCACTGGACCAAAAAGTTCTTTTTTTCTCTCTCTTTAGTATTAAAATTACGTACTCGCACGCACTGACATTTCACACACTTCACACACACTTCACACACACACAGAATTTTTTTTTACTCTCTTCTTCTTTTTTTCAGTTAGTTTTTCTTTATCTAAAATTTTATTCCTTCTTTGAAATTAATTTACTTTTCATTATTTTTACATTTTAACAGTTTTATTTATTTAATTTATTTAATTTACTTATTCATTAATTCACTTACTAATACATAATGTTATCAAGATCAATTTTATCTACTGCTAAGAGATCATTAATACCTATAACAACAAGACAAATCCTTCCAACCATTTCTACATCAATCATCAGAAGAACAACATCAATTAGATTTTATCATGAAAATGTTATTGATCATTATGAAAACCCAAGAAATGTAGGGACATTAAATAAAGATGATATTAGTGTTGGTACTGGATTAGTTGGTGCTCCAGCATGTGGAGATGTTATGAGATTACAAATTCAAGTTGATCCTGAATCAGGTGTGATTACTAATGCTAGATTTAAAACTTTTGGTTGTGGTTCAGCAATTGCAAGTTCTTCTTATGCTACTGAATTAGTTAAAGGTAAAACTCTTGATGAAGCTTTAGAAATTAAAAATACTTATATTGCTAAAGAATTAAATCTTCCTCCTGTTAAACTTCATTGTTCTATGTTGGCTGAAGATGCTATCAAATCAGCTATTAAAGATTACAAGAGTAAGAAATTAGCAAGAGATTAAGTAAAAGAATTATAATAGGTTATTTTAATAATGAGTGGAATGAGTTGAGGGTCAATCTAGTTGTTGATTTATGTAGTTGATGTTGTGTTTTTTTTGAATGTGTTTTGTAGTTGCAGTTGCAGTTGCAGTTGTAGTGTTTTTTTTTTTGATATATATAGCTATATTAATTCAATAAGAGGAGAAATTATTTATTTATTATTTGAAAGATTTGAAAAATCACCTGAAATTATGTAATACCCGAAAGGAGAATATGCCAAAAGAGAATACTACACTTGTTAATGATGAAATACATTGGTCAATACTTGGTCTATTCATACCATTGTATCTTTAACAAATGTTACTTTACTGCGATTGGTTCAAAACAAATTAACATACAGGTGATGTTAGGAGCAATTTAATGATTCATAATTTTATTTCCCATGTGCGTCAAACTCTAATTGGCTTTTCTTCTTCCTCTTCTTATTCTTCTTCTTCTTCTTGTTGCACTTGCATTGATTGATTGATTAATTAATTTTCTTTTGCTATATCGGAGGTTGCACTGCCGAAATAGGAAAAGTCCCGAGATTAGGATTAATGAAAAAAAAAAAAATTTTTTTTTGCTTTTATTTAAACCAATAATTGAAAAGATCTCGAATTGAATAAAAAGATTATTAATTAGATAAAATTTATTTGTCAAGAATAATAGACAAATTAAGAAAATGAACATTTAGTTATTGACTGACTTGGTAATACCTTTGAATTAATTAATTACAAGTCTATACTCTCTCAGTAACTTATTATAAATTACTCTCAAATTAGAATTAACCATTGATTAAAGATCCTGTATTTCGATGCAAGGTATTAACTAAATTTTTTTTTAAAGTTATTCAATAACAAAATATTCAATTAATCTGGTGAATTCTTGTATATTCATATGCAAGTAGTATAAACGACAAAGTCACGTCCTATTTCTAAACAGTGGCATGATGATGATGATGGTGATGATTATGATGATTGATTTATTATACATTATTATTAGCCATAATAATATCATCATTCAACTCAATACACTGTCTTATTTTAATTATCACCTACAAAACCGAAATTTCATGGTGACTACCCTTGTAATCAAAAAAAAAAAAAAAATCCGGGGGGGGGGGGGGGGGGTATGAAAATGTGTAATTTCCAAAAAAAAACTATCGGTTTAGACACGAATGTTGATGTAGATTTGCACTTTGTTGAAAATTACGAAATCACACTACTATTTGATTATTATACGAGTAGAGTTTATATACATATTTGATTGTATATATACATTGCTTCATGATGATGGAATTATAATGATTATGAGAGTTTTTGTTTATTTTCAAAATAACAATTTTTTGTAAAAAAATCAATGTAAATATTGGTATGAAAGTGATTATCAAGTGTCCTCTAAGTCGATTATTAAAATGATACTGAAATAGGGGAAACTTACTGTATCAACAAGATGGAGACATTTTCATCTACACACTTAGATGAATTATCAATATAGATTGAATTTTTTTCAACTTTTTAATGGATATAATACCTCGGATATTCACCTGAATTATACTTATACTTATACTTATACTTTTGCCTTTTTATTCGAGTTTCATAGTTTCAATATATTGCAACCTTACATAATCTATAGTAAAACCCAAATAAAAAAAAAAAAAGAAGTTGAGTAGTTTTAAATTATCCACAAATGATATCATACAACATGAAATATAGTACATTTTCCATCTACGCCTGAAACTCTAATTCCAGGAACATTCAATTACAAAATAAAAATAGAAAGAACAATTTCCGATGGTGAAAAGTCGGATATTATTATCAATTACTTAAATCGGGAATGGCCATTTTTTTTTACGGAATCCTACTGTATCTTTGTTATTTTGTGATATTCAAACATGATGAACTCGGAAAAAAATATCTATCTAGATACATATTTCACAAAAGTTATTATTGTTGTTGTTGTTGATACCTGCATGATATTAGAGAAAGAGGGAATACCGAGGTACATAGATTTTTTTTTATGTAAGATATTACAAACCGGGAAAAGTGGATTATGAAGAAGAAGAAGAAGAAGAAGAAGAATGAAAGAAATCGGTTGGAAATTGTCCCCCCAATTTTAAAATTCATAACAATAATAATAGTATAAGGTCCTTATTCTTCTTCTTGATGTTATGATAAATATCCGATTTAAATATGGTCTAAGTTTATAAACTAGAAATCACAATATGGTACAAAGATTAAGTGATGATACATTATTTTTCAGTTTTCAGTTTTCAGTTTTCATGACGGAAATATGGATATTGAAATTAGGGTTTTTAACCAACGATGTTTCAATAATACGGAAATATAACATTTGATGGATATATACAGATCTATCTATTCTTGGAACAATTGAAATAACACGGCTTTATTCATTACTACTACTATCATTCTATATTTCTCAGGGAATGGATTTTTAAATGAGAGAAAGAAAGGAGGAGGGGACCAGGAGGAAAAGAAGTTTGGGGGAACATTTCATAGTAATTTTTGTAACATATTCTATTTGGAGTTAATTGTAATTACTGAATTTTTACTAATTTTAACCTATACTTAATTATTGGATTTTAGTATATGATTGAATCAAATAAAAAAACAAATTATACGAATACAGTTGACTTATGTGGCTTTTTTTTTAAAAGAAAATGATTACATAAACTTGTGATAGTTTCTACATATTTTATTTTGAATATCTCGGGAAAGAAATGATAATTATTTGATTCCGAATTTTTTATGAATTATCAACAACAATACTAATTAAACTTTTTAGTCAATTGGTAGTAATAATTTAGGTTCCAAATCGAATTGCAAAATTTTTTCTTAAAAAAAATAAAATAAAAAAAAAACTTCAAAGGGGAAAGCAACTGTAGATGTTTCTTTTTCATTATTATTATTTGATTCTAGATCTATTGCTAAATATATATATATCAATTCACAATGATATTATAGCAATTATTAGAACTTAGTTATGGTGTATATCTTATGAATTGATGTATGTACATAATACATACAAGGAAAGAATAACCTTACCAGAAGAAATATTTCTAACAAATTTGATGGATAAAGGAAATTCTAGAATATAAACTAACCATTTCTAAAGTTTATTAACCCCTATTCTTCTTCTTCTTTTTCTGCCTCATGTAATTAAAGACACATTCATAACTCAAATGTTTGATATTGTTTCCAATTCAAAGATTTCCGAAAAGTGAAACAAACACGGTTATGAATAACATGATATTATGAGAAATTTCTTAATTATCTCCTTCATAATATTTCTCTGAAATTTTATATTTATCGGAAACTAATAACGAAGAGATCTCCGATCTTAACTAAAGTATATTACGTAGTCCAAGATAAATCCAATTGTTTAGGTAATACTTTCCATATTTGAATTTTTTTTTTGACAAATAGATAGATAAATCAACAAACAAATCTGATCTTTCTAAGAAACTTTATTCATGCACGTTTTTTATTTATTTTCATTGTTAACAGTTGGTTTTAACTATTTAGTAATAGACAAACCCATTGAAAAGGGCTATGCAATAAAATATTTCGGAATCGGATTATAATTCATAAAAATTCTTTTTTTTTTTACCATAATAGTTGATTCAAAAATATTATTATACAGTATCATGAATATTTTGCGCTTTTTCTTTGAAGGGGGTTTACTAATCTTTGAATAATGTTTAAAATAACATTTTGTGATAATTTTATAAAGAATGAAAAAAAAAAGAATTATGCATTTTAATTGAATAAGCCACATATTGACACAGATTCATTAAGAATACAAGGAATCAATGGAGAGATTCATGTCATTTACAGCAATGTTGATATTGATTCTATTAGGACTTTATCCAAAGGGATCAAAGGGAATTATTCTAAAAAAGAAAATATCAATATCAATAGCAAAATCAATAGCAATAGCAATAGCAATAGATATTTCATAACCTTTTTATTGAATAATATCTCAGGTTGATAAGTTTTATCTATCAAATATCTTTTCTTTTTACCCATCATAGCCGTTAAAAGCAAGAACCAAATATTGGTAGAGTTGATAAAAGACACGAATAGAAGTTTAGAGATATCAAAACGGTATGAAGTAGAAGAAATAGAAGAAGCAGTTATTTTAGAAAAAAATTCGTAAGTCATTATCAAAAATTTATTTAAAAATTACGTAAACTACCACCACTACTACTCTTCTGTATGCGTTTGGGTTAAGACATACATATGTAGACAAATGTGATAATGGATTCGTAAGTTGACTTACTTGTCTATGATGATGTTGAATGAATTATATTATTTATGATGTAAGACTTATTATTGATATCGAATATTTACAGTAGTTTATTTTCATTTCCGGAAAATGACGTATGTGATTGAGATTAATATTAGAAACTTTTGAATATAGGTTTCATATGGAAATACGATTAAATCTGTAATAATACGGCTATATACCATTACAGGATATACAATATCATGTAGATGTATATTTATCAAGATTTCCGAAGGGACACAATAATAACTACAACGACTGTGGTAGTTTTAGTTTTAGTTGTAGTGGTGGAGTATGTGAGAGTAGTTTCATAACCATTGATTTGATTCTGTTTCATCATTATCCACTTTTTATGCTTATATTATCACAAAGTCGGAAATCATCAAGATGTCACAATCGATGAAAAAGGGGATCTTCACTTTTTTCATGCAGAATCTTTCGTCAATTGTCTCTTTATTTTTTTTAAGTATATATTTCCAATTAGTAATTTTATATTAAAAAAACACCATTGAATTTTGCGTTCTTGTTGGAAAATTATTATAATTGTATTACAAAATCATCTCTAATGATAGATACTATAGTTACACTACGGACATTATTATCCATTATCAACTAGTTTTGTTCAATAAGCATTATGTAGTTCGGATATCGTAAACAAACAAAAAAAAAAAAGAGATCCACTATCATCGGATATTTAGTAAATGTAATAATAAACTTTCTTTCATATGATGATATAGATTCGAAAGATAAAATGAAATATACTTTTTAATCCTGTCAACGGTATAACGTTGAATAAGCTAAAAATAAATCAAACTCCGGAAGAAGAATACTGACATGAATCGTCATCCCCGGGGGAAGAAAGATACTATTACCTTAAATAGTTTAATCAAAAAAAAAAAAAAATTGCAACCTCCTTCGGGTCTAGAGAATCGTCATCATCATCATCATCAACCGTACGACGGAGGAATGTGGGTGAAAAAAGTATAAAGTATAAAGTATAAAATAGATACTATTTTTTTGTATCCGATACCCCAGAAGATTGAATACAATATAATGTCACGCAAATGAAATAGAAGGTTTTTTTTTGGGTTATTGTATTTACTACTATAAAGAAGCTTTTTGGTCACATTGATTCTATATGATTCGGTCGGCAATGACTTATTAATAAAGTTACTGTGGTAATTTCTTTTATAAGAAATTAGACCCGAGGCTGGACCCCCCCTCCAGTTTTCCCTTTTTACCCATATATCCCATAACTCTCTTAAATATTCCACTAAAAAAATAATAGAGGATAAGCCTAGATAGATAGAGAAGAATCTCCTTCTTGACTTCTCTTCTCCACTTTGTATCCGTTTCGTACATCAACAGGTCTTTAAATGATTAACCCAGAAGAAAGAATGACTCTTTAGAGTAATTTCTTTTTTCTTTTAACCTATCTACATATCTATCTATCTGTCTATTACAAATAGTTTCAAAACCTCCTTGCTTTCCTATATTGTAGTTGTTTAATTCTTCAAGTCTGGACTTTGTTTCTTTTTTGATTAGTATTAAAGGGCGGAACTAATGGGATCATCAATAAAGAAGAACAAGCCATGTTGATATGGATGGATCAGATTTCTTTTATTGCTACAAATATCAAGGTGATAATAGTAGAAGATTGTGATTGTGATTGCTTTCCGATGAGTAAAAGTACAATTATTGCAAAAACAACAATAACAACAACAAGAAGGTTATAACCCAAATGTTTGATTTCTAATAAAATCCGCAATTTGGTTTAATTTCAAAAATCGGAATTCGGGAATTTCGCTTTTAACGGAAAAAAAAAAAGAAATCTTCACTTTGCTCATCCTGCCTGTCTGCCGTTCTATATGCAGGCGACTCATAATCCTTTTCTGTGTATTTCTAATCGCTTCTTCTTCTTCTTTTGGGCCCCTCTATCCTTCCCCCTTTTTTTAATTTATTTTGACCATATGCTTAGTAAGTATGGGATAATGCACATGTAGTCATCATTTGGAAATTATGATGGTCCGACTGGATTAGAAGATTCTTGGTGTTGAGCTGAAACGACAAGAAAAAGATAAGAGTGAAATTGACCAAGAGTATACGGCGGTGTGAATGATTGAATAAGCTGATGAATAATATTATAATAGAGTCGAGTTGGCGTAAAAGCAGATGTAGATGTAGGTAGTGATGGTGGTAGTCGTAGTCCTAATAGTAATACTAGAAGGTGAAACGGAAATTTGAAATTTGCTGACATCATCGGCCGATAATTCAAAAAAATTTTTTCTTGGTGAGTTCCGCGCTGAATCGGATGTTGCCCATAAACTTTCCACCCGCCGCCAACATCGACGGGGGGACTACGACGATCACGACCACGACCACCACCACGACCACGACGACCACCCCGCCAAGCGCAAACGAGTGCAAGTGAAAAGAAAAGAAAAAATAAGAATAACCATTTATTGTTATTTCCGCGTTGATAATGCACGAGGTGAAAATAAACAAACTCACTTGATGCACAATGTAAACCAACTTAATTATTGGATGAACAAAAACCAAAAGACTAAAAATTTTGGGTTATTAATAAGTTTGTCATAATTGACAATTAGAGGAAAGGAGAGGGAAATTCTAGATCCGTACGGGAAATACACCCAGCTAGATTTTGTGTTACATTCTAAAAAAAATTCACTCGGGTTTATAGTTAATTATCTATTACTCATACCAGAATCAACAAATATAAATAACCTCAAATATTTCCTAAAAATTTTCAAAATAATTCTTTTTCATTTTAACCATTATCATTACCAATCAATAATTATCACTACTACTACTACTACCACCACGACTACGACTACATTTGTTAACAATGTCATCCTCACAACAATTATCTTTTGCTCAAACTTATATTTTAGCTAGCAAAGTTAGAAACAAGTTAACTAAAGAAGCTCAATCACCAAAATCTTCATTAAGAAACTTGGTTGTTCAAGCTAATATGTTAGATAACATCATGGATTATATCAGTGAAGAAACCACTAGAAGAACTAGAGAATATGAATCAATTAGAAAACAAAAATCATCTTCAGTTCAATTTGCTCCTTCTCCTTTAAGATCAAACTATAAAACTTCCATTACTGAATATGAAATCGATGAAGACTCTTCTGATGATGAAGATTACTCCGATGAAGAAATGGAAGATTCTTCCGATGATGATGAAGATGAAGAATTATTGCAACCACAACAACATCAACCACAACAACAACCAGAAAGTGTTTACTACGAAGAAGTCGATGAAGAAGAAGAAGAATCCGAAGAAGAAGAACAATCTGAAAACTTCATCTTGTTATTCAGAAGATGAATCCGATGATGATTATTATATCTATTCCGATGAAGATATTGTTAAAGAAGAACAAATCCCAAGATCATTACCAATTACTTCATTCAATACTTTGCCAACCATTGATTTATCATTAGATACTATTACTGAAGAAGAAGAAGAAGAATTACCTGAATTAGCTGAAAATTATTCATCAAGTGAAGAAGACGAAGAAGAAGAAGTATTATTATATGATTTGAATAGAATTAATCTTTCTAATTCTTCAAATGCTTCTACTACTCATAATGAAAAGAAACCAAATACTGAATTTGAATTATCATCAACCACTCCAGCAGATCATCAACCAATTAGTTTATTCAGACATGAAAATATCTCATTAGAACATGTTTTCTAGATGCTACAACAATTTTCTCAATGACGATTATTTACAATTACTACTAATGATGACGATGATGATGATTACGACTATTTTAATGACAGTTTATTAGTTCCTTAACGATTATGATTTTTTTTTTTCTTTACATATATATATATTTATTTCACTTCATACAATTTTTTATAGATTTTTATTTTTAATAGATTTTCATTTTTACATTACTTGAGAAGATACTTTGATCAATTGTGTAGATCTTTTATTTAACTCCTATTATTTTTGAATTATAAATCCGGGACCGAAATTTTAGTTAACCGATATTGCACCCAATGTCAAAATATTACTACTGCTACTAAAAAAAAAAAAAGAAAAAGTTTGTACGTTTGTACGTTTGCTATTTGCGTTTATGGATATGTTTCTAAGCCACATTCATAAAAAAAAGGAGAAGAAGAATGTGTTGAAGAATAGAATAGTCATTAGGATTCTTTATTGTTGTTCAAGGGCTTATATCAAATAATACAAAACAAAAGAAATGAAAAACTCATCCAGGTCATCTTTTGTTATTGTTAAAGAAAAGTTACCCGTATGATATCATACGTTGATATCATATGTTCTATATTATTCTTATTCTCATTCTTATACTTATTATTATAAAGGATATATGGAAAACATGGCTTGAACAATGTAAAAAAAATAAAGAGAAAATAATAATAAATCAGGCCCAGATCTCTCAAAACGGGCGGAAACTATTATAAATCAACCACAACCCCCTATTGCAGATTTACTAACAGTTTTATTTGATGACTTATACTTGCTTACTTACTTGCTTGCTTAGTCTTTTGTTAGGAAAGAGTTTAACATGAAAAATTAAAGTTGTTGTCATCATTTGCTCATAACAACCAGAAACTTGTAGTGACTAATCTGATGAGTAAGAAGGTTAAGATATACAACTCTATTTCAACACACACACACACACTCTCTCACATATGAGTGGTTTAACGATGTGTGATTAAATTTGTAATACTTACCCCAAGACTATTTCCCCCGGGGCGATGTAAGTTTCATAACATCTAAGCCATGGAATAACCACCACGACCACGACCACGACGACCACCACAACAACAGCAAGAGATAATGATGATGATGATCAATATGCTTGCTTGCTTGCTTGTCAAAGTCCTATAAGGAGTTAGACCCCTTGGATCTTTTGTGCCATCGGCTGATTATTAATTAAATTCATCAATTAAATTCACTCAATTATTTTATGGGTGCGTTACCCGTAAATCTCGGATGGAGTTTATTTCGTGGATTATCTCCGGCTAACACCAATGACAAAAAATAAAAAAAAAAAAATATCGCGCATATAAACTCACATCTTCTCCATGCAAGGTTAAAATTAATCCGATGGTAGCTGCGCTATTAACAACAACAACAACAACAACCCACCATCCCATTACACACTCGAAGGCACGAGTGAGTATTCGGTGCCGATTTAAGAAATTAACCTTTTGTTGTTGTTCTTTTTACCCCAGACTTTGTAAATACAGAACAATGAAACATGTATGGTATTCTATAGTACAATCACGTATATATTTATGTGTGTGTATTATTAATTTATATAGCCGTGGTTGTTACATTATTTCACATCTATGGATAGATACAAAATAGGAGTATCGGTTGAATCAAATTACTATTCAAATATTAGCGGGTATATATTGTATATATTTATTTATACACCCCGCTCCCGCTCCCTCTCTCTCTCTCTCTCTCTCTCTCTCTCTCTCTCTCTCTCCTGGTTATATCTTTTTAATACCTTCAATCAACCCATCTTGTTCATCTTGTCCTATTTCTTCATCACCTTCAGTGGTAGCTAAACCTTGTTCAAATATTTGTTTACCAGTTAATTTCCCATTATGCATTTTAATAAATCTTTGTTTATCAATTTCTTCAAATTTCATTTCTTTTCTAAAATCATTTCTCCATTTAGTCCACAGTTCAATAGTTACTTTAGTACCTTGGAATTTTTGTTGTTCTTTTAATTCTTTTTCTCTTCTTTTTAATTCAAATTCTTGATTTTTCAAATTTAATTTATTTTCCCAATAATGATTCTGCTTCTT